GGAAAATTTTCATTTTAAAGCGCCCCTTTTTTTTTTTTTTTCAACTCTCAAACCCATTTTTCTCATCAATAAAAAAATATCAAAGCCCATTTTGGCGCCCCTTTCTAGCTGGGGCCCGGGGACATCTGTCCCCCCCCCCCCCCGCTAAGCTTCTGGTTATTCAGAAAGTGACTTTAAAAAATGCTCGACGTACATGCTTGCTCATCAAGTTCCGTCAGGTGGCTAGGATGGTCCCCAGCACGTGACGCTTCATCAGTTTCCTAAACTGACTCACTTACCACTTTCACGTCGTTGACGTTTGTACTCTGTATGGTCTTGCAGGGGTCGACATCCTACGGCAACGCGCCAGACGTGGCACCAAGCGCGATTTTCAATGGAAAACTATATTAAATTACTAAAAATACGTCTTATAAGATGTTTGTGGGCACAAGGTTGCCGAACCCTGCTGGGCTAAATTGGCCGCTAAATACTGTAGTGTCTGTACTGTATTAAAGTATGAATAAATTTAAAGGAGGTCCAACCGCATATTCTCTAAATGCAACACCGTTTCAACTTTTCTCTCTCCTCTCTCTCTCCTCTCTCTCTCCCCTCTCTATCTCTCTCTCTCTCTCTCTCTATCTATCTCTCACTTTCAGCGTTAAATCCAGACGCACGACATGGATTGTTTGACTTCCATTGATAAAACAATATCAAGGCTGTTAATTGGCATGTAAAGATTTACCGGGAAAACAACCGAAAAACACCACAACAGTGGTCCATCTCCAGCCAGGTGAAAGGAAACATGAGATCTCGAAACAGTGAATGCATGCATATTGGTATATTTTAGAAAAAAATATTTAAAAATAACGAATGAGTCTGTTCATGAATATATATAAAATTAACGCCACAGTAAAAATTTTTGCATGGAGCATTATTTCTATACAACACCGAATGTCGAGCAATGAACTATGAAGCACAGGTGCGCCCCGTGTGACAGGGGGAGACGCTTATCCAACGGTCCCCAAGCAAAATCATCGTGTGTACTTGGTACTAGTTTAGTAAATTTGCAGCACAGTTATTTCCACTGTTGATGGCGGAAGTAAACATCAAATTGGCCATGTAATAGGCCCATTTTTATTAATAGTGTTATTTATTTGTAGGTTAGGACCAGGTAAAAAATTATGAGGCCTAATTTTAATAATCCTTGCCTCTACATATGAATATGAATACACAACAAACAGTTCAGTAGTTTTATTTCATACAGTTGTTTGTGCCAAGCTATAAGAAGAGTAAGATCATAGTCGTCATAGACATTATATCATTATAAAAACGAAAATTGAAGAGTTGTGACAGAGTAAACTCTGCTACTGTTAAGACTATAACATAAATATCACATTGCTTAACCAGGCTTATGCGACATAATGTGGATGACCAATTCAGTGAAGAACGGACCAACGCAATTGTGGCTATTTGTAATTGTTATCTTATGCGCCCTTGACGGTTGTAAGTACTTGTACAACTAAGAGTCTAATTGTATACTATTAATTATCTAAACAAACTAGTAGCTAAGTATTAGTAGTTAGTAGACTTGTGCCATCAATTTTGAAATATTGTCAGTAATTGTGTGACTTACTATAAGTTAAAAGGAATCAGCCTTCAATCCTTTTATTAATATTAATTATAATAATAATAGTTATATGTCTACTAGATGCATAGTGATAATGCATATCATAGGTAACTATCACTTAAGTCTTACTCATAAGCCTCAATCATAGTCATAGGCCATTTAATTTTTATTTTGACTTATGCACACTATAATTATATTCCTAATAATAAAATATCATATTGACACATTGACTATTGAGACCTATGGATTTAAATTTTAATAGTTTGACGCCATAAACTCACATCTCCTTTTTTTTTTCTCCATTTATTATTAAAATTCTTTCAGTTATGTTTATATTTATTATAACTTTCCAACTTTTATTTTCATTAGCTTTTTTAAAAATTTATTAGTAATGAATTTTAATAATAAAGTATATTTCCACTTCTAGCTAATTTTTTTTCTTGACTTTATTTTGCAGGTGGTGGTATCTACTGTTTTGTGTGTAATTCTATAAATAATGACGCCTGTGGAGATGATTTTCGCATTTCTACGAGTGACAGTAAACTGAGAATGCAATGTGATGGTGGAAGCTGTATAAAGCGCAGGGCAACAAGAGTTGGTAAGTAATCAAAAATTCACTCTGACAAGATTACCTTATGCAATCTGTTGGAAAAAGGTTGGTTTTGGGAGAGAGAAAAATTTCTTGAAATGTCTAGATTTACCAAGAAATATCAGAATACAGGATTTTTACATATAACTATTTGTGACCCCACCATATCTAAACCTATTTTTTAAAACTTTTGGCTGTTTTAGTTATTCTTTAATGATACAAATCATAAGAGTGTTGGACTACGATAAAGCTTTAAAGTAAATTTTTTGTCTGGGTTTGTGCCCACTCTTATTCTTTTCAATTTTTGAGGTAGGATATAATATATTATGTAATTTTAGTTTCTACTTATTCAAATGTTGTATTTATTTACAGATGAAGGCATTTGCCGAAACGTTGACATTTGTATTTTGTAAAATCATCCTTAAAGCTGAACATATATTTTTTTATTTACACAAATTGTTTCTAATTAGTTTAATGGTACTGTCACTGACAAAATCTATGGATTTATATACATTCATTAAAAAAAAATCACAAACACAAACCGCTCCTTCTTCCTGTGGTGGAATTCTTTCATAAAAAATATGACCAATTAACTCTACATTTTCTATAGGCTTATTCTGTACTTATAAAAAAGTGAAAATAAAACAATTTAAAAAGAAACCTTTTACAAGTTAATCTCAAAATATAAACAATAAACCCTTAAATAGAATTTTTGCATGATTTAACATTTAAAAACAGCTTAACCCCAAACCCTGTTAATTAGGATTTTTATATCTTAATTTTTAAAAATAGTTTATTACCAATGGTCTTACTACTTTGTTTCAACCATCAAGGGTTTTACAAAGGAAAAAAGAAAGAAAAAAAAAGAATATCTTCTCTTTTTTTAAATAATAAATTACTTTCACATTTTGAATGCATTTAATATATTTTCAGAAGGCTCTGTGAGAAGAGTGGAAATTATCCGCAGTTGTTATAACCGCTTGTCGGAGTCATGCTTTGATGAGTACTTCAATAACGTGAAGCAGTATACGTGTGCCTGCAATTATGACTTTTGCAATGCTTCTGTTAAACCTAACCCACAGTCTCTCACAGTCATCCTTTTTGCTCTTCTGATTGCAATTTTATTCCCAAAAACTCATCATTTGCCTTCACTTTAGCATGTCACTGAGGAGGGAGATGATTACAGGACTAGTTAGTTTCATTGCCTGAAATTGGTGAGGATATCTAAAAAAAATCAATGTGTGTATTTTAAAAATAATTTGTCTGTATTCGCGCAAAAAAGCCATACACCTACAAAGATGGTTATTGACATTTGTCTTCTATTTTGTTGTGTCACCAAATGGCAACAGGAACACATTTAAAAAATTCAAACCGAATCTTCTGCTCGCACTATTGACTTTTCTTTCCCAGGAATTTTATAATACAACTTTATAAACTTGCAATTCTTACACAGTAATTTTTGTGTCATGACCATTATGAGGAGAAGAAGATTATTTCCCCCCTCATTATTGATGCTCAATTTTGAAACATAAGCATGTTTGCCTGTTGGTTGGCAGCGCCTAAAATATTTCCTATTTTTTACTTTTACACACATTTTATTCATTTTCTGAACAATTTTGTTTTGAGTATATTTTGTTGATATTAGATTGATGTACTTTTTTTAAGGACTATTGATTTGATCAGATGGTATGCACGTAATTGCATAGGCCTGGATTACATAAGTAATGGCTAGGGCCAATGTTGTTAAGAAAAACACTTTGTCAATAGAATTTCGGAATTTAGCTGCATTAAGAAAAAAATATTTAACTTAAACCGCTAATTGTTATTACATATCAGTAAAATATTTTTTCAATTTATCTAAAAAATTGTTGAATTGAAAAAAGGTTAAAGCCTGCACTGATTTATTTTTTTCTAGCAAAGCTGTGTATATAAAATTTCAAATATCTAATTGTTGATGTAACTATGAGATGTTTCATATGACATTCATCTGTATATAGTGTGTGATTAATTGTCAATGATTGCATTTTCATATTCATAAATGTGCTATTGGATAAAATTTAAATTAAATTTCAATTTATTTTTACATTATTAACTAAAAACATGGTTGACGGCAAATATTTAACACATTAATACAAAGACTATGCATATTAAGATTACTTCTTTACACTCCAGCTGAACTATGTTGTTTAGCATTAATTCAGCCTGCATGTGTAAGACAACACACGAGAAACTGAACACCACTGTTGACATTCAGCTCCATTTGTGGGAGGTGCATGTAGTGTCAGGTTTCTTATATGTAGACTCTTCTTTATCAGGCAGGACTCACATCAAATGATTACTTGCAGTATGTTCTCTTGTAAATGAATCAAGTTGCTGAGTTGCAATAAACAATATGACCAAGCAGATTGTCATGCGTTATATTATTTTACATTAACATTGTTATACTAAATAAAATAAACTGATTAATTAAATGCGACCACTTGCTTAGGCAATATTGCAGCAAACTTCTCAAAAGATCAATAAACAAATAAATATATCAATGATATAAATACATTTTGTTATTAACTTCTATTTAAACATCCCTGATAATTGAAGCTGAAACACAGAATGGAGTGATTTTTCAAATTGAATATTAACTCCAACACAAGGAAACGCGAATGATGAAATTGAAAAACAAATGAAGCTGTTAAGGTTAATTTTTTTAATAACAAAGTGAACATTAGCACTCACCTTGAACACATTTCAGATAAATCTATTATTATACATATCTAGATCTAATTAAGATATAATTCCCTTCTGCCTCAAGAATGGTGTGTGTACTGGTACTTAGATCATCTTCCTCAACATCAGTTCTTACAAAATAGAAAAATATTAAATGGATGCAAAAAAAACCACCAACTTTAGTTACTTTGTTACACATCACCCTGGAATCAAACATTTCTTACTAATAAAAATCAAAATATACACACACACAAAATTAATTTATAGTACCAGATGTTCAAATTATTACAAGTAAGGCTAAACATTACAACAATCCAGCAAGCTATGTGAAACTTTTTTTATACAATCTTTCACTCTATATATTCCATTAGTCATTTTTTTTTCAAAAAGACAATCTGTCCTTACCAAAAGCATAGAATAATTCTATTTGTAATATACAAAACTAACATTACAATTCTTATTCTTTAATTTACATATGTACAATTTAGACTTGGCACATGCACTCATCTCACCTCTTAATTAAAACAAAGAATCAACAATATATTGTAAGTATGTCTGTTAATATATATAACAGATAAACTTAATGACCCATTATGTACATTTACTGCACACGTGGAATGACTTGTTTGACGAAATGCAATATAAAAAACAATAAACAGAACACTATTAGTATTACATAATGAGAACATGCAGCCTATAAAACAGACCTATATGTTGCTCTTAACTGTACTTTTAGCTTCTGTTTATCCAATATTTAATTTTTCATGCAAGCTGAACATATATTTCTAACATACATTTTTTCTTGATATCAGGATGTATTTTTTAGTCTCACCAAGCGAATGGGTGTGGGGGATATGCTGCAATTCTAACTTAAACTAAACATAATTATATTTTTTTGAAACAGAACAAACTGAAATTAAGGTAAAAATCTTTTTAAAGAGATTCTATATTTAAAAGGAAATCTAAAATTGTAAAATAAAGAAAGTATTAATGTCATTATAGTATAGTGAAATTCTGCAACTTGGTGGCCAGTGAACAGTTATTTTTAGCAACAAGCCTATCACCAAGGGACACAATCTATGCAAAAACATAATTCTACCATATTTAATAAATTCTGAGCATTATTTACTTTTTAAAAAACTGTGTAGAATTAATTTACGTTGTTTTGTTGCGTTTCTTTTTTCAGGTTTAACCCTACTCTGTTATACTCATTTTATAGAATTAATTTTTATTTCCTTGTTATTTTCTGTGTGTTTTGTGGCCTGGAGCAAACCTGAACAAATAAAAAGTGAGTCTATGAGAAAATATTTGATCTTGATCTAATACAGTCACCAATGTTTGACAATAGGAAACTAGAAACAAATTATTGGGAAGGCAAAAACAAATATGAATCTAGCACAATGTGAGGTTATAAAATGATTATGCACTTGAGACTGAAATAAAGTACAATTATTACATAACGTTCAAATATTCAACTCCACGTCATATCCAGTGGATCAGGCTTAGTTTCACTAAGAAGGCAATTTATCACAGTTTTTGCTAAGTACAACTACAACAGTGCACTGTCACCTATTGGAGCCATGCACATCAATTTTTTGTTGTTGCACACTGTTATCAACATGCTACATGTAATTAAAAATGATTTATGCACATTAATTTATATTCTTCCATGTCACAGACTACATTAAATTTAATGGATGACATCAACCCCACACTTAGGCTGTAGAGAAATGTTCTGATGAACATGTTTTGTATGACTGGTGTCATATGTCCAGATTGCTTGCTATTGTTTCATAATTAATTCCTCCCTAATTTCAGGAAGCCTGAAGAAAAAGCCTGGTGAAATCAAGGCTTGTTTTTAAAACACACTCCCTACTTTTAAGAGTTTCTATAAGCTCTCAAAATCAAGCTGAAACTATTGTAGGGTTCTTCAATCCATAACTTCGGGGAACAATACCATGCATAGATCAGTTTTTCATGGTCTGTCCAATGGTCACTCCAATACAAAAGTGACCTACATTTCATGTTAATTCTGATGGGAGCTGTTTGAATCTAGTCAGGGAAGAGTTGTTAAATGACCAAAAGCTGTTAAATTTCTTCTTTTCTTTTCAATAGACAATTTAGGAAGATCATTTCCAAAGATGTATCTTTAATAATGTTTGTTGTGTAAGAGCAAGACTCCTGAAGTTATGGATCATAGATGTCCTGCTGCCAGAGTATTTTAGGTTGTGACCCTTATCTGTAAGACATAAAGCTAAATAAGCTCACTGTCTTTTTAAGCCAGTGGTCATAGAGATGTTTCCACATGCTTCACAGTCCACTCAGAAAACAATCTTCTCATCGTACAAATTGTTTTAAATAATTTTACAGAGTTGCCAGCACTTTTTGCATCGGAAACAAGTCATAAACAAAAAGTCATCCGTAGCTGTGACCTCTCTGTAGCTATCGGGCGTCTGAGCCCAGGTTAGAATTGTTTTGATTGAAATGCCTATCAAGCACACACAATCAACTATCTCCAGAGCCATCCTGCTTCATCTTGTCTCCAGCAGCCTCTTCCCTATTTGTGGCAGTCGTCGATGCTGGGGGCGGATTGAGGATTGCAGAAGTTACCAACACAGTCTGCAGCATGTTAACATTTCCAGCTGTCACTGGTACTTGGGCCATGTTGGTGAGTTTCATCCCTGGAGGCGGTGTGATGATACGAGCATAAACCGGCTTGCCCTTTGGTGAACCACGACCAGATGTTTTACTTGCAGCTTGGACGACCTGCACATAAATCAGAGATTAAATTAGTACAGATTAAAAGTTTATTTTTACCTTTCAATTTATACAAATCAAAGTGTTGAGAATAAATGAAAAATTCTATAAAGTATAATTATTACTGTACACCAATATACATAAACGCATCTTTTTATTTTTCCATTGGTTATTTAATGCTATGATTATTAATAGAGTGATTGAATTTTGTCCCATGAGACACAGCATGCAAACTTTGGTTGTTTTTTAGTTCTACCCTAGCAGAGATTTCCTAGAAATAATGGTAGTTTTGGTGAAGAGATTTTCTTTGTATTTGCTTTACTGAACTTGTTCACAAGGATGTGTTTTTTTTTCTCTCTCCAAAAGTGGGGATTGGTATTGAAACTCCACGTAACTATTTTTGTGTTAATTCTAAACCCAGTAATTTCAGTAAACTATGCCTCTAGCAGCCTACCAAATCTGAAGACCTAGAGTTTGAAAGTGTAACAGGAAAACCTGTGATGTACTGACCTGACTTGTGGTGAGACCTGATGTAGAAGACACAACTCCTTGTGGTAGAGCTGGCTGAGATATAAGTATTGTTGCTTGACCAGGTTTTAAACTGCCTTGAGATAAAACTGTTCTCACCATCTAGAAATACAATTGTGCAAGAGTTCATTACTCTGTATGGTCTAAGATTGGATCAGGCAAAACAAATCTTTTTATTTATCTAGCCCTCAGCAGATCTAAAACCTTTTACTTTAAGTGGTTTTCTAAACATTTATTCACTTAAGTACAAAGAAAGGAGGATTTGATTTTTTTTTAAAAAGATGCAAACCATATTGTACTTGAAAATTTTTTATAGATTCTTTCTGTCAACTTTCTCCAATTTAAATGAACACAGTTACATTTGTCACATTAAATTTAGCATTGAACATATTTGTACCTGGAGGTTCTGTGCTCCCTTAACACCTGAAGCATTACTGACAATAAAGGAACCTTTAATGAAAAAAAAAAAACAAATGGAACTTTCATTTATAAAGCATGCATCTCTACACTGACAAACTTAACCATAAAAAAATGTGTAACATTTTTACTCATTTACAAACATGTGCAGACAGTCTAGCCTCTTGCTGACTTCAGTAACATGTATGCATTTAGTTTTAACTTGATAAATGGAGCTTTGTTTATGAAATATATGTATTTAAAAAATACACTAATACAAAACAAAAGGTTGGATAGAAACTTTCTTATTACTAATCTATTATATTTTTCTTCATTCACTATCCTCAATTGCTGTAAATATATCTCCTAAAGATGTCTAATCACCAGAAGATGCTTGTGTAACTCCAGGGGCATGATGAAGGATAAACTGTGTGGGGACAAGCCCTGCTGCTCCAGCAGGAATCACTTTGGTCTGTGTACTGTTCCCTGGACCAGCTGTATAGAGTAATAGAAGAACAGAATGAAAAGTTGTAGTCGTAAACACATAGCAGCTGTAAAATGGGACGAACATTGTAAAAAAACAACACATGGTTGATTGTCATAAAAACAACTTAAAATAGTGTGAAGTTACGCTTCTGAAACATGAAAGTGTGGCATTTTATACAAAAGTATATCTGTAAAAAGTCACAGTCACACCACTTTACAGATCATTTACACAAAATTTGTTTCAAGATATATGGAATAATAGAACAATATTTATGGAATAACAAAAAAAAATAATACTTTTCTATTGTGGATACTCTACCCCTGGATTGGGCAAAGTATAGCCTCTGGACATTCACTAAAATGTGAAGTATTATTTTCATAAATTTTTAGCTTAACCTAGGCTGACTGGGATTGACAGTCCATAACATTCTAACTCTTAACACAAATCACAGAAATAACAAAAAGTACTCCAGATGTATCTGGTGGAGTTGTGAGAGAACATTAGTGGGAGAATGCCTCCAGTGTTAAATTACTGTATTTATTGGCGTATAACGCCCACCCCATTTTAAGAAGGAAATTTCAGGAAAAATTATATTGGCGTATAATACGCACACATCATTTGCCCCCTATTTGCAGGGAGAAAAAGTGCGTGTTATACGCTGATAACATACAGTATTTTAATCCCAAAAACATTTTCTGTTCTTCCAATTGCAAAGTGAGGGCAAGTTTCCCAAATGCCTGAATTTTCAAAAGGAATTGTGGTAATAATGTATCGACATATCCATTACAACACTATTTAGATCAGGAAGCAGATGAAGTCTCATAGATGATGGACAAGCATTTGGCAGTGGTTCTGCAAATCCCCACATCGGTGGAGGTGGAGAAAGTCACTGGGTAATTATTATATAAGATAAATGAAGATATAACTAGTGGCGGGAACTTGAAGATGTGTTACTTTGTACCTAGACATCTTCAGAAGTTACTTGTAATAATAATAATAATAAGAGGTCTTACATAGCGCGGTACCCCAGCCTAGGGCTGGGCTCACTGCGCTGTACATAAAATTTGTCTCAAAAGAGACATAATCATGACATTAAAATAAAATACATTTATGAAATAAAGAACAGCAATGTATATTCACCTACCCCACCAAATAACTTTTACAAGGCAAGCCATAGACGGCAGCCAGCAAGATCGTTATAAATTTAATATCAATAACATTTAACAATTCTTCAGTTTGATGAAAATGAATACTCATAAGTGAACATTTTTAAGTATCTCAAATTAAACAAATTAATTATTATTAGTGGTTTTATATAGTGCGGTACCCCAGCCCAGGGCTGGGCTCACAGCGCTGTACATACAAAGAGATACATACTCAAAATGGATCCAAAAATATATCTTATATAGTTGAATAGTTGGCAAACCAAAAGGGAAGATTGAAGATACTGAAGTTGATTTTTTCATTCCAACTAAATAACTAAGCAGGATTAAACCTATCCAGTCTTCACCTGTTCTGAGAGTTATATTCCCTTGAGCCAATTGGGTGACCACAAGTCCAGCTTGCGTCGGGTTTAACACCTTGGCCTGGTTGGTGGCTTTAGAGGAGGCTGCGGCTGCCGCAAGAACTGCCGTCTGCTGAGAGGCGCTCATTCCCAGGGCGGTGGTAGCTGTAGTGATACTAGTACTTGAGAGAAGGGATGGTAAAGATGGCACAGGGGAAGGACTAACAACCGCTGCATTTTAAAAAATGTGATAATAGTGTAATTACACAACATTTGTCTGCTTATTTTACGACATGGCGTCTGATCCTTTCTTTTTAATTTTAGGAATTTTAACAATATAACCTCACATAGGGTTCAAATTTACCAAACAGTGAATGAGATTTTAAAATTCAACAATAAACATGATTTTGTAAAGAAAACTTTTTGAAGATTTTCTTGTGTGGAAATAACTTGGAAAGAACTTAACAATGTAAACATAGTAACATAGGCATAGCTAGAGTGTTTCCCACCAGGGGACAAGATTCATTTTTACACCCCTTTCCCTTCTCAACTCCGAAACTCATGATTTTTTTATCAATAAATTACCAAACAATAAAATACCATCAATTACCATTTTGGCCCCTCAATTTTAATCTGGCGCCCGGGACATCTGACAAACCCCCCCCAGCTAAACCTCTGCTCAGGAATCAGAAAGACTATGCCACATGCTAACCCAACTTACCTAGGACAGTAGCAGTCTTCCCTGATGCAGAAGATAAGGCAGAGGAGACAGCTGAATGAGGAATGAGATTGATGGTCGAGAGAGGACCTTGAGGTGCCCTGATCAGCCCTATGTGTTGACCTCCTTTTCCTGCAAGTTGAATCAATCCTTTAGCTTGTGTAAATGGTTTGCCTCCAATATGAATAGGTTTTCCTCCCATCACAGACTGAACAAGGCTCCCACCTGAAAAAATTGATGATAGAAATAAATAAAAAATATAAATCTCATTAAAGAAAAAAAAAAATGCACATAAGAAATGCACAACCAAATAAAATAATTTTGTTTAATAATCATAATAGAGCAGTATGAATTGTAGAGAACAATAAATGGCATCTATTAAAATAGTTTTAATAGTCTTAACGCATCAAACTCATCCCAAAGATTATGTCCATATAATTCTCATAAGTCATTTAAGCAGTGCCTTTTTTGTGTGTAAGAATATAGGTGCTGGAACTCTCATTTTTATCTAAATTTTAAAAAATATACATTTAGATAACTTAGTTAAATTCCTATGAAAGGAAGTGCTGGAAAACTGTTTGTCTGTGTTCTATGACAAAAGAAGAACGCATTCAACACTCACAGTTGGGTGCACAACTTTTAAATATGATATGTACAAGTAACACATACTTTGAAGTCTAATTGATTGTTGCAAACTCCTAGGATTTCCCGATTGGTTTGTGGCATGTTGCATAATTTGTGCCCTAACAGTACCATCTGAACTTTGAGTACCAGGCATGGAAGTCAATGCCACCAGCTTTCCTCCGGCTGCGGTAGTTGCTGAAGTGAGATTCGCTATCCCATCCTGAGACAAAATTAAAGAAGCTTGCTTTATACCAGCTGTTTTAGAAGATGAAACAGCTGCCTGATTTTTGGTGACCACCACATTAGGGGGAGGTGTTTGCCGAGCAGTCATTGTAAATGTCTGTTTGGGAGCTCCAGGGGTTAACTTCCCCAAGGGATTAGAATTGGCAGATGCTGCCACAGTTTGCCCAACCGCTGCAACAAGTGCAGCGTTTTGTTTGAGGACACTTTGGGAGACTGTTTGCTGGTGATGCTGCTGCTGTTTGAGAACTTGCTGAGTCTGCAGCATGCTTATTGTTGGCACAGAGTGAGATTTAGCCTGATTGGCTGCTGACTGCGATGCATTCATGGTAGTCACTAAACTGAATGTTGTGGCGGTTGTAGCTGGCGATGAATTAGCTTTCTGTAGCTTTCCAGCTGTGATACTTGTTGGTGCCAGACCGGGCGAATAAAGAAGCTGGGCTGCCAGGGATGAATTTACACTCAAACCTACAGACGTGACAGTCAAAACTGAAGTGGTTACGTTTGTTGTTGACGCCACGGCTGTTGTTAAGCCCTGGTGACCAGTGAGGTGTTTAATTGTTTGTAGCTGGCTTACAGTGGCAGCAGATTTGGCCAGTGAGGCCCTGGCAGCCTGCATCTGGGCAATCGTTGGGTTCAGGTTGGCGGGGGCAGCCTGGCTGTTGACAGCTGTGCGAACAAGCGACGCTGGGGATTTGGAAGCTTTACCCAACAATGACAAAGTATCTGAGGTGGTTAGCTTCGTTGCTGCTGCTGAAGAGGGAAGTGTGGATAGGGTAAAATTCTGCTTGGTAGGTAAGGGTGCAGGTGACGGTGCAGTTGGGGTTGTCTGGGTTACTGGGGGAGCAGGCAGGCCAGGCTCTTTAGTCTGTTAAATGAACAAAAAAAATATCAATTTGAAATTGTTTTGATTCAATCGGTTGTGGTCTGAAAAAAACAATTGGTAATTCAATTTAATTTTAAGTTTAAAGTAATCAAATAACTTTATTTACGTTCAGATTAAATTTCGGTTTCGTTCATTACTTGGTGGACATAAAACAACACTTAAAAGTTTCTTTAGCTTTCTTTTCCTAAATTAATGCTATAAAATAAAGATTTTTTTTGTTGAATTCTATGGCTTCATCGCATTGTTATTTTAAAAAAAAGTTTATGAACTCACCAATTTTGCTGTTTTTGGCCTGGATAAAGTTTTCTTTGCTTTCACAGCTGCAGCTTGGGCTTGGTGGATTCTCTCTGCAAAGTACATCACATTTTTATGGAAATGCCACAGAACAGATATTTTCACAGTAGATAGTAACATAACAGTCTGGCATATGAGTGGGCAAAATAAGCTGTTACCATGCAACAATTTTTTTTTTTTTTAAATTTAATTACAACACTGATGTTTCAAAACGGTGTGTAATGCCACAGCAAAGGATGAAAAAATGTAATCATTTGAATCTTTTAATTTGTGATTTCTCAAAATAGTTTTACATAAAGTTTTAACAATGTTTATAATTAGTTTTTTAACATTTTTTATTTCTCTCTCATTGGTGCAAGAACTAAGCAGTGCTGGTATGAGGTCATACTGAAAGACTTAAAATATGACAAATGGCAAATACAAGCAATGGTCTTACCAAATTCATCTTCTGTTCTATTCCGATGAAGATAGATCCACAATTTTCTAGTTACATCATATTTCACACAAGGATCTTTTTCAGAATGAAGTCTGTCAAGAGCTCCACTAACTACTGCATTAATCTGTGAATGATATGATATAAATGTCAAAAACAGTCAAGTATCTAAAAGTGAATATTGCCACCAAAGTAAATAAAATTCATTTGTCATGCGTAACTTAGCTCATAGAGTAAAGGTAACAGATCATTTTTTTTAAAATTAATAAATTAAAAAAAGAGAAGAGAATCGGAGAGTATTTGGTAGTTGTATAACTAAAAACTGTTCTTCTTCTATATCTTAAGGGCCCACGATCAATTTATTGATCATTTTGGCTCCTATGCATGTAGATAGGATTTGCAATGTTTCTGTTACTGGTGTTGATGAGGAAATCATGCACTAGGGGTTTGAAGGCTTGAGGCAATAGACACAAATGTGTCAATAGACACAAATGTGTCTAGTGTTGTCACCTCAACCTTTCCTTTTGAAAGATGGTTCCAGTCCCTGATTGTCTTGGGCAGGAATGAGCAGCTCCTATACTGGCTTCTTGCTGGTATGAGCCTGAATTGCCTGTCATGGCCTCGTCGCTGTCTATGGGGGAGAGGGATGAGTTTCTGTTTAATACTGGAACAGTGGACCAGCCCATTATTTATCTTGTACATCATGGAGAGCCTGGATTGTCGTCGTCGTTTCTCCAATGGTGACCAGCCTAGTGTTTCTAGCATGCTGCCAACACTAGAGGTATTCCTGTAGCGGTTTAGGACAAAGCGTGCTGCTCGTCGCTGGACCGCCTCCAACCTGTCAATGCTCTTCTGGGTAAATGGGTCCCAGACTGAAGATGCATAATCTAAAATCGGACGGATAAAGGCTTTATATGCTCTTTCTTTCACACAGGAGTTGCCAATCTTTAGATTTCGCCTTAAGAACCCTAGGGCTTGGTTACATACATTGTTCAATGATTAGTACTTAATTCAAAATCAGTGATTTTATTTAAGGATAATATGACTTTTAAGACATTGATTGGTAATTGAGCAAAAAATTTGAGCTTTAAACAATAATAAAATATATTAAATTAACTACCTGAGTTTCTGTTACACCTGGGGCAAGAAATTGAGAATCCTTAAGAAGTTCACAGATGTCTCCTCTCGTTCCTTCACCATTGGGAAGTCTGGCTGCTGCATCACGCACTAGATAATATGAAACATTGCTACTTTTAATTTTGGAAAATAAAAATTGGCAAACCTAATGTAAGGAGAATGTAACTTATCTGATATATTTTGGTGTGACAAACTTAATGACTATTGAGATCTTTCTTAACTTTACCCACCCAGAGTAAGAATAGTGACAAAAGGGGGACGGTCAGAAACCAACAAATTGTGCTCCCTGGCCTTATTTGTCCCACTATCTTTGTCGTAAACTCCTTTTACAGGCCCGACAACTGAATCGTATCCATGCATCATAAAAGTGAAGGCTTTGTGAGGGGCCGCAAATCTGCGACGCTCTTGCTCACGAAAAAATGCTTTCTCATTACTGGATGTGGGCCTAACAATAAAATTGGTTTTGCTGTGAATAGAAAAATAATAATATGTTACTATGATTACATTTGTCTACATCCGTTTAGAGCATTTGTTTCTATTATTTATAAGTGGATTCAAGCTCATTCATGTTTTTATCCATGAAAAATTTCCTAAAATAACACTGGATATTTTTGTTTATTATTTTGTAAGACATTTAGTTGTAAATCATCAGTATCAGACTAAAACTTACACTTTGGGTGGTGGTGGAGAACCTTGAGCTGAGTCAAGGCCATCCACAGTGACATCATCCTTATGCTGCAGCCAGTAGCGAAAGAGTGATGTCAATTCTGGATCTGTGTCACGACCAACGCCAATCCATTTCCACTGCTGAGCCCTTTCCTTGTAGTCCACAAAAGGTACAAAGTTTTCAACTTTCAATCCTGTGATCCAAAATTGTATAACATAGAACATTCTCAAATGTTTAAATGTGGAAAAAGAGAATGTATAAAATCACATGACCAGGATATATATACTTTTTCCATGAGAACACTAAAGTTGTTGATAAATAAATAAATAATTAAAATGCTATACGCAATGTTCCATCTAAGTTGTGCATATATGGATAAATTTAGTCTACTTGACAATTATCTACAGGTGATATTGCCATAAAATGTACTGTCATTGATTGACTGTATACAATTGGTTTCTTTCATCAAATTCTTTAAAGCATTCATATGTCATAATCACACCGAAATGAACACAGGTCATTTTTAAATTAGCAATGTAAACTTTAATCCAGCAACATATCTATCAGGCTGTACAATGAATCAAACACATATATAATGCAGCACGCTATAGGTAGGAGAATAAAGCACAACCTTTCACCAGACTCTCATCGACTGCTCAATGAAAATGCATGAACAAAAAAGACAAACTATAGACACAACGTGACAATTACCATAAAATACATCACAAGCTCTGTTCATTTATGAAAATACTATACAAGACACGCCGTGCACAATAAATCACAATATTTGGTGCCCAACAATTACTAATGAATAACCATACTCGACAGCAACAAAATAACAAACAACAAAGTTACTAGTTTTAAAGAGTTATACTTCATGTGCTCTTAGCAAATAACTTTTCATATTAGTGGAGTGAACATATTTTTACCAATGAAATTTTTTCTTTGTGCACAGACATTGTTTAATTGTGCAAAAAAGATTAGAAAAATTGAGAGGTAATATTGTATGTATTAACTAATTTTACTATTAAGAATAAACCAAATGTCAATTGAATTAAAATTCTTCATATGATGAAAGTTTAAGACTCACTGTAGCACTGAATGAACAATTACTAATGAATAACCATACTCGACAGCAACAAAATAACAAACAACAAAGTTACTAGTTTTAAAGAGTTATACTTCATGTGCTCTTAGCAAATAACTTTTCATATTAGTGGAGTGAACATATTTTTACCAATGAAATTTTTTCTTTGTGCACAGACATTGTTTAATTGTGCAAAAAAGATTAGAAAAATTGAGAGGTAATATTGTATGTATTAACTAATTTTACTATTAAGAATAAACCAAATGTCAATTGAATTAAAATTCTTCATATGATGAAAGTTTAAGACTCACTGTAGCACTGAATGAACCTTACCTAGCTCATTTCCTGAAAGAAATTTAAGTGCAGATACCACTAAATCAATCCAGCTTTTTTGCAGTGCCAACCATGGGTTTGAGATCTCATCATTCAAGTCTAGCCATTCTCTCACACGGTCCTCTACCTGCATCGGCCAAAATTAGAATACATTAACACTTTTGCTTTCATGTTGGTGAAGTATTTAGTCACAAAAGAGGACTAATTATGAACCATGCACAATGGATAACTATGGCCATTTTCTTGGGCAGAAAACAACACTGGATGGTGTAATTTATTAAAAATAATACCTTTGGAGTAGAACCTTTTCCTTCAGAGAATTCTGACAAAATATCACGTAATAAACAGAAGAAGTTTGTAGCCGGACCAAATACTGTTTTGGAGACCCTGGAAATATTGGAGGGGGGAAGATATACAACTTTTAAAAAGATTGCAATACAACTACATACATTAAGGAATGCTCTTCTTTCTTTACTAAGCTACTTTAAAAGATTAATAATAAAAAATATAAATGGACACAATATTTGTCATTAAATAAAACATGTTTTAGACCCATAAGCTATGGTGGATCACTTTGTACTTACTCTTCTGACTCTTCATCAACACCTAGAAAACTTGAGTTCTGGTCTAATTCAGATGATGTAAGATGTGGGGTAAGGACAGCATCATCATCATCTCCTGCTGTAACATCTTTCATTTTTAGCTTCCGCTTTTTCTCCCCCTTGGCTTTCATCTTGAGGCGTTTTTTCATGGTTGCAGGGTTTCCTGGGGCATTATCCCCGGCTAAAAATGGCATTTCTAAACATAAGAAAATAGATGATAAGCAGGATTGCTGATGCTGAAAATCGTTTTTTCAGTAAAAAAGTTTAAACAAATTTATTGTGAATAATTTATAAAAGAATTAGTGTCAATAATATGTTTGTGAGTATCTTGTAAATATTTTTAACAAAATACATACCAACATTAATTTTTGAATTTTTCTTGTTAGCCTGACATCGAGCCAGTATATCTTGAAGTGTAATGTTGGTTGTGTCTAATTCTGGTAACTCCTAACACACAGAAGTAAAAAATACATTGAATTTCAATTAAAATAAAGAGCTGTAATTAGACAGAGATTATCTTCTTTTACACTCTTTTTGTCCACTTTTAATTTAGACTAAGAGAGAATACTTTAAAGAATATTTGATCATGATGTAGCTAAAACTTCTGATTCTTTAGTAAAATGAAAATACATTATTATAGCAATGTTGCTAAAACTACTTTAGTAAGGTGGAAATAAATTATTATAGCTATTAATAATAATAAAAGATACTCTAGAAAAAGGTACAAAGAAGACTTACTGGATCTAATAACTTTTTCTTTTTATGAAGTTTGAGCATAAGTTTGTAGCTTTCCTCAGTGACCTCAATAGGACTTATGGGCCTTGGTCTCTTGTGGTTTATCTGATTTTGAACAGGACTGGTTGTTTCTAAATGATTTAAAGCCCCCAGGTCACCATTAACCATTGACGGCTTGCTTGCAAAAGTGGATACAACACTAGGGAGAGTCGGTTCCGGGGATGGGATAGGACCTAAAGATTTGAATAGCTGACGTCTGCTTCTTTGAACAGGACCTTTATAAGACCATCAAGTTTTAGGATTTGAAGATTTTAAAATATAATCATTAGATATAATTTAATCACTTATAGACTTGAAATCATTGTAGGAATTTATAAACGCAAAAAAGAAAAGAAAAAGAAGCGTCGATTGCTTAAAAATGCTTCATTAATAATTGCAACCGAGAGTGTAGTCACCAAATTTTTATGTAAATCTGAACATCAAAAGGTATAGAAGAAAAAATAATAATTTTACCACAAAACCATTGTGGTGCTAATCAAAATGAAATTAGACACTTAGAAAAAAAAAATTCTTTAAAAAAAAATTAAAATTAACAGATTGGTTTTAAAGAAAACTATATAATATTTTACACTAAAACAACTCTTACTTGTAGTTTCATCCTCTTCCTCCGATGATGTGTCAGGTACCCCACATTCTTCTCTTACTTCTTTTAAAATCCTAAAATAAAAGAAAATGATAGTCCATTTAACAAAAATAATAATTTTAATTAATAAAAAATATCTTTTAAGATACGTACTGAAATTATAACCATTTGAAATAAAAATAACTTAAGTGCCACAATAAATTATTCTTATATCCTGAAATTCTGAAGGTTAACTCTTTCTCTCCGAATTAATTTCCACGTTCTGACGGAATTATCTATTTTGCAAATTTGTTACGCTCTACTATGTTATCTCAAAATCATCATAACTTTTTTGTTTTTCATCAGAAAATGTTAAGTTTGGTATGGAATTAAAGGGGAATGTAAGTTCTTTGCAATCAATACAGACTTGGGCTTAAATTTTAATATATAAATGTGATTATCATTTAAGGTCAATATAAATTTTAAATTTAAAAAAACTCACCAGCTGTTCACAAAACGCTCATTCCAAGTCACACAAAGAGAAATTTATAATCCAAAGTGTAACAAAAATTTTTTTTTCTGAACTATATCCATATGTGCCTCACAAATAATAAAGATTAACTTAAAAAAAATAAAACAAATTAAACACCAGAGAACATTATCCATTGTCACCACTACACAAAATATTTCAGCAAAAAACTTTTTCCAATGGAAACAACTGTTGCTATAAGATTATATTTGAACCGTATCCTTGTATGAACTAACATTTATTATGGTAAATGGAAAATTTACCATAAATTTGTCATATCTTTTCATCTGGGTTTAGCTATGGTTAGGCTGAAAACAATCCATATGGATATGCGGACTTAACTCACATCCAGCACAAACATATTCCAGTACAGTTCGTCCTGTTCTATGTTTGCACACTGTTCTTTTTGGAGCTCATAGGCACATGTTTTGCTCTAATAAGTCTTGTTAGAGTGTTGATTTTAATACTTTAGGAAGGATACTCACTAATTGAGAGTTCAAGCTTGTGAATAATATCTGTGTCTAGCAAAGTAAAATAAAACAGTCAATCTCATTTGACTAACTAGTCACACTACAAGCTCCAAATTTACACCTACATTTTTCAAAGGTAAAAATCTGAAATTGCACTCAGTTTTAGTGCTAAGACCAGCAGCTTTCCTTTTAGAATCTACATTATTTATAGTAGGAACAGTATTAGCTCTTCTAGAAAGCACTTTAGCTCGGGACGGGTCTGTTTGTCCATCAGCTGATGAATTACAAATTTCATTATTTCGTCACTAGTACTACCAGTACTAGCACTAGTATTATAATTATATGATTCATCAGAATCAATTCTGCATCTTAAATCATAAAATCACTGTTCTGAATTGTCATCAGAGTAATATTTCAACTTTTATTAGATCGATCACCAGATGGGTCAGGTCAAGATTGCATGTTTGTAAACAAAAATAAAATGGACGATCAAAACAACTACTTCAAACACTCTGTTCTATGTAAAAACTCGTTCAAATAAAGAAATACAGGATGTTTTTCAAAGGGATATCATTCTAGATTTCATTTAAAATAACTAAAAACCAATAGCTAAGAAAAGAACCGAAATAAACAGGGTTTTATTCAATGGCGATGCCATCGTCGATCCGCCAGAAAACTCATTTAAAATCGACGATGGGAGCGTTGATCCGGAGAGAAAGAGTTAAGTCATTCCTGAAAATTGACGCAATATTATTTAACAAATGGAGAATATGACAAATGTTCATCAACAGTGTTTTCACTTATCACCTAAATAAATGTTAAAGAGTAGTCAAATCAGAAACAAACCTAATTGTCTTCTTCTTCACTATTTGCTCTACTGCAGATGCTTTCTTCTTAGGTGGTGGTCGACACTGAAACTTAATAGGCTCTCCGGGGGCTAATGTTGATGCATGTTCAAAGAGACCCTTATGATGAATATATTTTTTTGTCCAATAATTGTACAATTTTCATTGATACATAAAGTAAAATTAGAAGCATGAATAAAAGAACAGAGATGTACTATTTTTTTTTTTTTTAAACAAAACATTTCACAACTTTTTTTACGTTTATTTTTTAAACCTGACCCTTTTCCATAATTAATAATTATTTATTTATTGAATTTCCTTGCATTACCCCACTGGCCATCTTTTGGCCACCTCATTTCTCAACTTCAGATTAAACAAACTGCAGAATGTATGAGCATTAAATTTATTTCATTAAAAGATAAGCAGCTACTTTTACTTCAACTTTTATATATTGCAATATATGTTTTCATTTTATTTACTCCAATTTTTTTGTAAAACGAAAATTTAAGGTAATAAGTGCTTTTCATTTACATAATCCCAAATTGGAGAAATCCAGATACCTGTCTGGAGAGAAGTAAATGTTTTAACAGATCTGATAAGTGTCGCTGCTGCCTCATTTTGTAATCACGGTGCCGAAACTGTCGAGTCTGTTTTCTGTATCGAGCTATTTCTGGATGCAAGTACCCCTCTAAAAAATATAAACAAGCATTGTCAAAAAAATGCACTCATGGTATAAATATAAACAATGTAGATTACGTTATTTACCAAATTGTTGGAATTTTTTTAAATGGCTTTTTTTTAAAAGAAACATACATGCAATAAAAAAAAATGTAAATGTTTCAACAATATTTTCATTTTTAAAAAAAAAGTTTACTATTTTAAATAAAGATCACTTCAATTTGTACAAGCCTTTTTACAAATACATTTTAAACCTAAGTTTCAAAGAATGACACAACTAATCATGCAAATCACTAATTATAAATTAGTATATCATATGTTTTAACATTGAAATTCATTATTGTCCACCCTCAGTATCACTGGAGGTACTTGACATCCAAAAGAACTGATAACCACACCTCCTTGTAAAAGCTATTTAAAGTAATGATAATTCCCCCCCCCCCTGTGTGGAGGCTGAGTACCCTTGATGGGCTTTAAAGTTGGGGTCTGAGATAATAAGAAAACTGTCCTAAAGCTCCACCATTTTAGCAACTGAAGTTGTTTATAAAGCTATCAAGAATTTGTCTTAAATTTTATGTATAATGAACTATAGGAATTAATTTTTTTTAATGCCGGCAGTGCACAAACAGGCGAAATTTAAGTTCAAAACAATACATTAAATGAAAAATCCTTTTATTACCTTTTAGCTTCTTTTGCAAATCTTCAACAGGGTTCCCAAATTTGAAGTTTTCACCAGTAAACAATCGCCTGGGAATCAAATAAATGTAAATGATACAAATAATGTATTGCTTCCACCTCATCCTCTACAGCTACTACAATCAATATTGAAGCACTTGTTAAGGCTGTATTACAACTTTTGGTCTTAAATCTAAATCCCTTAACCTTCAACTCCAACTTCATTTGATGGTAGAAGGAGAAGTGTATAATGGTCAGGTCAGAAGAATAAGTTGTGGACAATTTCATGTTAAGATAAACAAATGCTGCAGTTAAATGGAAAAGTCTCATAGCTCAACGTACGAAAGATGGATGACTACCTCATCAGCTGAACTAGTTGGACTGGTTTCTATAAGCGCTTAATGGGGGCTGGTTCTAAGGGGATGGTAATGAGTGAGGGAAGTTTAACACTGATTTTATGGGACAAAATTCAGTTATTCTTTTTCAAGGTGCTTTGCATGTTTATAATTAATAAATTCCTAACTATTTAATGTATTTTATACATTTTGTACCCAGGTTTCAATTAATTTTTTATTTACCATAGATGCAACTATAAGAACAAGGTGCATTTTTTATTTTTTTAAATATATTTCTATTACAAATCACCCCTAAAAAGTCCAATTATTGAGTAAACCAATTCAGACGTGAAATAAATCATTGAAACTTTTCAAAATGTTTTATATAAATTCAAACAGGTAACATTAGTGGAAAAAAAACAACTCTTTATCCTGACCTTAACGTCTCGCGTTTCTCTTCACCATCACCATTTGGAAATTTTGGTAATAAACTCTGAAAGAAAAATAAAGCTCAATTCAATAAGTATTCATTTGCTTTCCATCAACCAAACACTAGAAAGAAATGTGTTTTAAATACATAAAGAAGCTATTCATTTTAAGACAATTGATAATTAGTAATGAAAAATAAAATTAAGAAGAAGTTACCTCTAACTGTTCCTTTTGCTCATCTGTTAAAACTGTATCCCAAGTTTCCATTGACAACACAGATGTAAAAATATGTTTCTGAAATTTAAAAAAAGCGAACACTTGTATCAAAATTATATCTTCAGTCTTAGACGTTACCAGTATTATGTTCTAAATCAAAATTTAATTGGTTCAAATTGGATAATATATCACACTGCCTTTACTGTTAATGATATGATATCACACTGCCTTTACTGTTAATGATATATAAATTAGAATAAGCTTTCAGGAAAATGTTCTCTTGGAAGTCAACATAAATTACAATCAGGCCTGGGTGGAAGATGAAACAAGGTCAAATCTCTTCACCTGATGGCATCTGGTTATGTGCTGGCTAATTAATCTCAGATGAATTGCATCTGATACTTTTCCTTCCAGTCCTTAATCTCACAAATAAAAACAAAATAAATCCTTCAAAGTGATCAACACAGTGAAGATACTTGAACGAAAAGTTAAATGTATTCTAGTCGGAAATATTCCACAAACATTAGTGAAAAAAAGCCATCCGAACATCATGTCTTTTAGTGAAGTGATTCATTTTTTATAGCAGTGAATTAGCCGCTAAAAAAAAACCCCACTTTTATATATATAAATATATATATATATATATATATATATATTCATTCAAATACTAATATTTTCAAGAAAGTGCCCAGTTAAATTGCCCTTTAAGGCCTGCAAATACAAGTGAAACATCTTGCACCTGTTAGACAGAGTAATTAAACATTGATACAATGTAGGATATGCCTCAACTTAAAGCCTCCCTGAAGACAATCAAAAGCACTTCATAAATGTGCATTTGTGTCTGGGACTTCCCATTCATTCAGATAACCAACCTTTTCCAAAAAGAGTTCCGGTAAATGTAATGTTTCCTTGCCAACTTTGCACTGCTCCGTTCTTTCATCAGGGCCTGGTATCAAACCAGCCCAGACATCATTGTCACTATCAATCTCCTCACTCACATCTTGATCGGAATCTTCCATATTTTAGAGTTATGTTAAATGATCCTGAAACATTTTGATTATATTGAATATTTATTCAGATCATTTATTTGTAGCTAACTGAATACATTAATAAATAAGAGGATTGATCAGAATTTAGAATTCATTTGTTTCTTTTTTAAACTCCTGCTTTGTTATAAGGCTTCTAAAAAAAAATCGTATCTTTAATTTTGTATGAAAATAAATCTCATCACCCAAATTGTAGATCATGATAAAAATGATAAGATCAATTAAATGCAATTTATCAATAGACATCCTCAAATAAAGAATCGTATTGTTGCAATCACATTCAACTATTTTTGGAATTCATTATGAATAAATTAACCTTCAAAATTAATTTTTTGTATCACAAACAAAGTAAGGTAGAGCTCTTATTGGGAATTGTCTTAGTTGTAAATATAAATTACTTTAAGTAGAGCTAAATTCCTTCATTATTATTATATTTTGGGTATATTTTTCAGTATCTTTTAATCTACCAATTTCAAACACAATTTCAGAGAAACATGAATTCTCGCCTAAGCCTAAATATTAAGTTTTATTTTTTTTTAAAACATTAACATCAAAATTTTACTAATTAAAACTGGGTAGGCCTAGGTTGAAAGCCTACTCTGTATTACTTATTTCAGAGCTTGGTCTTAATTAAAATCATCAAATATTATTTTCATGAATTATTCTTTTCCCAAATCTAGTATTTATAGGTCCACCTAAAATACACTATATTGCTATTTTTGCCAGTTTTTATCCCCACACAATAGTCACACAAAATTAGTATTAGAATCCTGCATTGCAAATGTTTAAACCCTAAAAAATCTAGCCCAGCTTGATGCTTGACATCATTTATGGCTGGCCCTTTAGACTACTTTATAGGTTTAATGCTTAATTACAGCTAAGCCTAAGCACAAGTTTAAGGGGTATTCATAAATGACTCAAGCAAATTTTACCTATTTTTTACCAACCCCCACCCCACAATCAGCACAAAAAGTTAAGACGCCCCATAAATATAATGTCACAAACCTCTGCACCCTCCTCGTAACCGCCCCCCCCCCTCAAAAAATCACTCTGTTCACTACAGTTCTTTACAAACCCTTAAAAAGTCATATCCCATGGAGATCCAATCTGCACCTGTGTCAGAAACATTTCCCTACAGTGGGGGTGCTGAATACCCAGAAAATTAAATTTTAAGCCATTGCTAATTGTTGCTGCCTTTAAAAAATGTTTTTGATGCATTTTGATTATCAGCAGTAAATGTTTTTGTGGTTAATTTAGTTTGGGTATTAATTCTTTTGGTGAATTTTATTATTTTTTTCTAGAAAGCTAAATTACAGAAATTAAATTACAACAACTACATTATTTCTTTATTACAATATAATTTATGGGGTTAATGATTATTTTAAATAATTTAAAATAGAGAGGTGATGCAAAACTGTTAAGAATCTTTGAGCTAGAACTTTTACTACCGGTATACTAAGATCATTTCTCCATCCAACCCCCCAGGTAACCCATTTTTCATTCCGTCCATACCACTTGAAGTGGTAGCCCTAATTCTATGACACTCATATCCACATTTTGACATAAATTCTCAAGACTGCAAATGTCCCTAAACCCTGATTCTCCTCCTACATGACGTCCTGAAACTTGAACAGAGTCAATAATTTTCACACCTCGCATACCTGTATTCATTCTCAGTGATTGTAGTTTAAATATACAAAGTAAAATAATTATAATTGTACTATAAAAAAATATATTGAAAGAAATCTCTAATTTAGTGTTATTCAGTGCTATTGCTTCAATAATATTTCACTTTTTTTATTATGTCACAATCACAATGCTTAACCCCATCCCCTCATCACACAAATGCAACCCCCTAACATCTGTGATGTCATTTATGGATGGCCCCTAAACAAAAAAATAAGTAGCCAAATGGTAAATGTGAAGAGATGGCAACAAGTTTTTTTACTTTGGTTGCCGTGACCCGCAATCTTATGTCCTAACGCAGTGTTTCCCAAACTTTTAAGTTTCACGGACCGGTGGACAAGTTTCGAAACTGCACCAGGGACCGGTGCCAGATTTATTAATTACATTTTCTTTCTATTTAAACATCAATATACATGCTCTCTGGACCGGTAACGTAAGGCTTGCGGACCGGTGCGGGTCTACCGTTTGGGGAACGCTGTCCTAACGTATCACTAAGCTCAACCTAACCGACCTGAACCCTAAACTTATCCCTAACCTGGGTTTTGACCCAATTGGAACCAGGGTTTTGACCCTATCAGAACCAGGGTGCTATCTCTTCACATTAGCCGCCTAATTTTCTATTAGGCGGCCTATACTTAGATTTAGATAGTAAGTGGGGTGGATGTCACTCATTCTCATGATTGATTCATTTCATTATTAATCATTTTAAAGGGTAGTACAAATAGAGGCCTACTCATCATGATACACCTAAGTTTAAAAGCATAATAAAGCCTAATTTTAAGTAGCTATTACGCGCATAGTGTATTAGGCTAGGCATTATAAAAAAATTAACATTTATTATTTTCAGTTTCAGCTTTCTAACTTTCATTTTCAATGTAGGGGCCTTGATTTAATAGTAATATAACAGATATGATATTCAGGTAATATTTTATAGTTAACCACATGCAAATTGAAAGTAATATAACAGTGTATATGCCATCCAAAACTAATAATACGCTTAAATTTCAGTGAATTGTATACTTTGATCTTGAAATGAATATATCCTTTCAAAACCTCTAGAGTAGCGGATACTGGACAGAAGAGAACCATGTTCCGGAAGTTAAAATTATTTTATAATAACGCTGCAGATCCAGACTAACAACAGGTCTAAATTGCCGAATTGACAGACATTTCAAGAGCATGATTTTAAGTTGCAATTTGTTTTTTTTAACTCTAATAATTTATTTTTTAACACAAAATAACCAAACTGTACATTTTCTTTCATGGTTATGAAATGAGTTTCGTTTCAATCTAAACACAGTTTAAAAATAGCATTGTATTTTAAATATAATAATCAGTAAAATACCGTAACAGTAATATTATTTATTTTTAAAAGCATTTCCTTCTTTATCTAGTATTTTATTTTTTGTTATTTCTTTTTCCTTTATTTTTCCTAACTAGGTGATGTATTTTGCAATACAAAATATATAATATTGCTATACTATATGTATTTATATCACGCATTAAATGGATAGATATACACGGATTAAAAATTTATTTACCACAAACTAGCAATTCATTTATTGTTTAAACACATATTTATTAATGGCTAATAAAAGTTTTACAGTTTTAAACAAAACTGTTATTTAAATTGTGTTAACTTTCATGTTTTAATTAAAGTTGCACCACCAGTCTCGTTGTACTAAACAGCTGGCATCGTCATAACGCGATGAATGTTAAAATAATCGAACATGATGTTCCAAAGAAACGCTGATTACTTTTAAATGCTTTTCCACATTTAAATCAATGTCGTTTGTTTCCAATTTGAAGAGTTAAATAAAAGAGAAGTAAAAAAAATAATTTTATATTTGTTTTTCACTGTGTGTCTCCGGACTTCAAGAGGGTTTGATCAGCCATCTGAAGCATTCTTAGCTTTTAGAAATATAGTCGAGACTAAAACCCAGCAGCAGTATCGAATATCATTTGGTAGGATAATTCTTTTAAAATGGCTTCCAATCTCGTGTGTAAGGTCCACCCATTAGTCCTGTTTGGTGTTATTGATGCTTATGAAAGAAGGAATGAAGATGCTAAGCGTGTTATTGGAACATTACTAGGTGAATAATGCAATTATAATTTAATACACCGATCTATAAAGAAAATAAAAATTTGGCATATCCAATTCAACAGCTGGTCGGTTGTCGGCCCATCTGCATCAGTACAAGTTTAGTAGCCTTATTCAGGCTTATTCTAATTCTAAGTGAACTTACTGGTTACCGACGGCAGTAAATAGATCAGTCACCAATGGCAACGGCCGTGCCTAATACTATACTACTTACTAACTAATGGTAATTAATATAAAATAAGGTAATCTACCACTTAAGTTTAAGCATCCCCCCAATTTCAGAAGCATTCACAATCACAGCCAGCCAGGTTTCACACTCCTCCCGCTTAAAATTGCACCAGTCTGCACCAGTCGGACCAATAGTGACATTTCAGACATCAGCCTCGTGTGCCATCTGCAACTGTGGCATATCACAACACTAGCAGTCTCAGTAAACTAAAATAATAATTTGCTTGATGCTGAGGTGACGTCCTGTAAAGAAAGAGACCTCTCGTACCGTATTGACTTTCAGTAGCTGCATACAGCACAGGCCCTGCAGACACCACATAATCATACTGATTTTTATCAGGTGTCCATGCTCACATTATCGTGCTGAATTAGGGTGCGATAAATTCGGCAGTAGTGTGGACAGCCGCCATACTTCTTCATTGCGTATCTGAAAGTATCAAGCACTTCAGGCATCGGCTCTATTGTAGTCTCTCCACTTTTTCTTCCTGTCATATCGGTAGCTCAGTAATAATTATTTTAATTAATTCTGCTAAATAACTTTATACGGAAGCGGAACTATTAACGGACATTAATATAAGAATAATTGTTAAAATAGCCCTTCAAACCGGAACAAATGGCCCACACTCAAGTGGTAGATTACCTTAAAATAATATAGGTTCTACTTAGCTAACTATGCCTCAGAAGCGTCACTCTTGTCTTTAGAGTTTATAGGGGTTTGTGGATGGACTGCACCCCTTGACCAGGTGACGCTTACTAGGACTGTTGGGAATGGCCGGGGGGGGTGTCAAATGAAATATTTGGGAGAGCTTGCTGGCAGCTTAATTCTTTTTCATGCAAAAGATCTAGTTTAAATAAATAAATAATTTTAAAAAACAGGGTACAGTAAATTGATGCTATCCGGGTCCACTCTTTAGTAGGCACTTCGGTAAGGTCCGAAATGACGAAAACCGGGTAACAGAATATCGTCAAAATGGCTACCTCCACTTTTTATTTACATTGAGTCTCATTGTTTATGATTTTGTTGCTAATTATAGCCCAGCATCTACATTCTATTTCCGCTCAAAACCTAAAACTTAGACAAGATGTTCTATGATTAGACAGCTTGGTTTTTTTAAAATTGAGGTCTTAACTTTGAAAGTTGAAGGTACAATAATGCTAATTTTCCTCATTTATATATTTTTTTGTGGAAGGCATATACAGTGGAACCACTCCTAACGAGTTTAATTCGTTCCAGACTCTTACTCGTTAAGCGAAAAACTCGTTAAACTAAACAATTTTTCCCATACAAATCAATGTAAAATACGATAATGCGTTCCATGCTGAAAAAATACTAATTTTTCAAAAAATTTTATTAACATTTATTCAAATAAAATTACTTATGAATTGTTAAGGAGTGTAACAACTTGGAATACAATTTAGATTTGAAACAAAAAACGTAAATAAAAATATGATTTTATGACAAATAATTAATCCTTTTTAACTAGAAAACTGTCTAAAGACATTTGTTTTTGCAGACGCTTCAAAATTTGACGAAAATGTGTCGCAGCATTATCATTGAATAAATTTGTAGCACGAATAGCCACGGTCACACCTTGTTCTCGCTTTTCAATAATTTTACGTTTAATTTCAACAGTTATTTTTTCTCTTTTATGATTATCTTCTTGTGTTGTTTTTTTCGAAGACATTTTAGCATAGGTTATTACACTTTGCACATAAAAAAATTACGAAACTGTCTTAATACAAAATTTGTAAAATCTGGTGATCACACGAAAACAATACGCCAACAGACCGAGTGCTAAACAACATTCTCTGTTGGAGTCCTCTGCACAGGTTTGCAAATCAAATTCAGATAACATTTTCATTTTATAACACATTTTTAAAATCCCATAACTTTTATTTTTGTGGTTTCAGGGGTCGTTGAAAAGGGTGTAGTGGAAGTAACAAACTGTTTTGCTGTTCCTCACAATGAATCAGACGATGAGGTATTTGAAAGCTTCAGTTTTATGGGTCAAATTTTTTAAAAAGTTTTTCTCAGTCATTTAAACAAATTTTTAATGGTCATTTTGTCTATATTGTAACATTCTGATTATTATTGTTATTCCAGGTTGCAGTGGATATTGAGTATGCACGTAATATGTATGAACTTCATAGAAAGGTTAACAGCAATGAGAATATTGTGGGATGGTAAAGAAATAATTTTTAAAAATATATTATCACACATTCAGTTGTTTTTTTTATAAGCTAAATCATTAGAAAATTTCAACAATGATATTTTAATATATATTTATGTGTATAAAATATGTTGTTTTTTGTTTGCTTCTTGTTTATCTTTAAATTACTCTTCATTGTCTAAATCATGAGGTTCTGTACAATGGAAAGGACTGCACATTTGCAATAGATTCAGTTATGTTTTGTTTTTTTTTAATTGACAGGTTTTCAACAGGATCAGAGGTCTCAGTACATTCGGTACTCATTCATGATTACTATTCAAGAGAAGTTAAAAGCCCTATCCATCTAACTGTTGACACATTTGTCAGGGGGGGGAAGATGGGAATCAAGGCTTATCACAGGTATTTCAATTATTTTCTTTGCATACATGTTATTATTTATTTAATAATGAAAGATAAATGAACTTTTCATTTGTGATTCTGGTGCTGGTACCGTAATGAAAAGTCAATTTTTACTCAAAAACCAAATTCGCTGCAGTCATCCCACTCAGGTGGTTGAGGTTTTTTTACTCACCTGCCGAGGATAATTGTCTTACTTGGCTAATGAGTACATTTCTCATGGCTATTTACCCAAAGTTGTACTTGTTTCAATTTGGTTGAGAGCCAGGCACATCACAATTTTGGCAATAGGCTGGCCAAAGCTCACATAGATTAAATATAGTTCAGGAAATTTATAATCCTTAATCCATATAATCATTAAATACAAAACTTTATACTCAAATAAACCTTCTAAAAGAACCTAATTATCTGTCTTTATCTGGAATCAATTTTATATGTTAAAGAGGTATTTATTACAGTATTTAAAATTTACTTGCAGCAACCTAAATCTTTAAATTATTTCACAGCACTGCCATTGGAGTTCCAGGGAAGACAACTGGCACTATGTTCACACCTGTGCAGGTGGAGACAACCAGTTATGATCCTGAACAAGTTGGAGGTAAATTAATTTTTAAATCTTCACAACAAAAAGATTTGTGATGATATCAAACTTGGATTTTTATCTTTTATAACAGTTTTTAGAAAAAGTAGGCACAGGGATAAAATGAAAGACCAATGCAAATTTATTTATCCAGAACATTAGTTATACAATTTGCACAAAATAACATTTTAGCCAGATTAAAAATTTAGTTGTGTCCCATTTTGATATTTTTCATCAGCTGTTTATATATATATCTTTTTAAACTGTATATTAAACGTTAGTTTATTTATTGATTATAAATAATTGATAAAATCCTATGATTTATTATTTTAGTTGAGATTCTCCAGAAGGGTAAATATAACCCAAAGCGTATTGTTCAGCTCAAGTCAGACCTGAGGCAGATTGAGAATTCTTCACATTGGTTGAAAGATAATCTGCTGCATGTTATACAATTTGTTGATGATGTATTGGTGAGTTAACCTATTTTAATAAAGCTTAAGGATTTTTTAAGGAAATAATAGTTTGGGTTAGTCTAACTTTATATCTCATTTAATAGATGATTGCAAATCTAAAGATATTTCAGTGAATATTATTTTTAATTTTTTTCATTTATTATTGATATATTCAACTTCTCCTTTTTCACTTAGGCTGGCAAAATACCATCTGATAATGTCACTGGTAGGTTTCTACTGGACCTTGTCACAGGTGTACCTCATATCGAACCAGACAAATTTGAAGATATGCTTAACTCCAACATGAAGGTACTGCTTTGCAATTTTTAGCTTTGTGTTAATATGCCTTCCTACTGAAAGTTGACATGCTCAGGGCCTTTTAAGTTATTGCCATCATTGATCCTACCACTGGAATTGCATTAGCAATGTGGGGGAGGGGGAGCTCTTTTGTTAGTCAACTGCCATTGTTTCATACCTTTAGTTTTACTCTACATTTGGTTTTGATCAGCTGCCTGAACTCTGGCCTTTGAGTAAATAAATGCGGCTAATTTCATCATTTAACATTTCATCGATTTTTTTTTTTTTTAAGTCTGTAGCGACGTGAAATGAAAAATAAATAATTTAGCTGTAATATTTTTGAATATAAGGCACTTTATAAATTTAAAAATTTCTAAATTTGTATATTAAGTAAAATATTACTGCAGGTGTTAAGTGCACATTAATTTGCTCTCCAAATTCCCTGCATAAATATTTTCTTAGAAGATATAATTTATCAAAGGGCTCTTCACTCAAAGTTGCCAACCACCGGTTAAGATCATGTTCAGATTCTCCATTTTATGTTCTGTTTTTTTTTGGGTGGATGACTTTGTGTTGAAAAAAAATTTCCCATATTCATTTTTCAAATATCCGCTCTTCTGCAACTTTCTGCTTTTTAAAAAATGAGATCTATTATACTTTTTAAGTCTACACCACCAGATATGATTGTTTCAATCAACTGAATTGTTTTTACTACAGGCACTTGTAACAAAAACACTTATTAATTTTCACCAGGATCTTTTGATGGTAGTGTACCTTGCAAACCTAACCAAGACTCAGCTGGCACTGAATGAGAAGCTTAGCACTGTGTAACCACAGCTACATCTCACAAGCATTGTACATTTTTTCTAATTTAACTGAAATATAATAAAAACAATAATTGATCAAGAACATGTTTTTGTTTTTATTTTTCAGATTTTTGATTCGTTAAATATAATATCTATACAACTATTCAATGTTCTTTCAGACATTTAATTAATAATTTTTACTGTTATTCATTCAAATGTTAAAATTTAAGTATATTATTCAAGCGGGGACTACTTTGAGAACTTTTTAGATAACAGCCTTATGCAGTATGAATGTAATCATCATGTGCCAAGTTCCTCATTATAAGTATTCCAATAGCTTTATTTCCTAAAATGAAATTTGGCAAGAAACAGATACTTCTGCAATAAAAAAAACTGAGCTTTATTTCCTAAAAAGAAATTTGGCAAGAAACAGATACCTCTGCGATAAAGAACTGTGCTGCCAGTTAATTTATGTGCCATGAAAAGAAATCATGAAGATGTCAAATTAGTTATTATTCTGCAGAAGGATTGATGTCAAAACATAAAAATTGTTCATTGTTAGTTTCTAAGCTGTTGTAAGAAGTCCATTTTTAGCGGTTGAAAACATCAGGATTCTATCAGCTAAGGCATATTGTTTTTTAAGTTGTAGTCACTATTTTAGAATGGAAATTAAAACCAGTGCAGAGAAATAAAATCTGGTACATATTTGTTGGGACTCGTTATCCAATTGGTTGCATGAAATTATTGAAATGAATACAAATAGTTATTTTCATTGATTTAAATAAATGTGGAAAATTAAATAACCATTAAAGTTAAAGAATTTTTAATTAAGCAAGTTACATAAAATTATATTAATGTTATTTATCAGTATTTTATCTTATGTGTTTGACTAGTTAGAATTTGTATAATTGTATCTCATGAGTTTAAGTTTAATATTCTCAACTACTACTACTTAGTGACTGATTGACAAAACTATAGGGTATTAATTATTGGTACAAAGATAAATTAATTTTATCTGATCTGATACTCATACAGGGAAGGTTTGACCCTCATGCTATGTGTGCCCACTACAGCATTTGAATCAGTTCCATGAATTTATCAAGATTTTTTTTAAAAATATTTTAATCATGTAAAAGTAAATCATATCTTGAGGAACAACTATGTGGGATAAAAATCCATAATGAACCTGTGCTTATCTTTAAATAAAACATACATTTCTTTTACAAATACAAAGTGATGATATATTTAAGCTTATTTAATTAATGGGGGTGACAAGAGTCATTGACTTTTGCAGCCCCCACCCCACCCACAAAGACTCGAAACTGGAAAAGCATGGTATATAAAACAAGGTTCAGGTATAATATTAATTTAAAAAGTTGTTAAAGCAATTTCAAATCAACAGCTTGTAAACAAACATTCCATTATGATTATTCAAATAAATTGTAACATATTTATACTTGTCACTTTATGTCTAAATGTATAAACTAGAGTAAAGGCTTGGTTTTAAAAGGAGGTAATGAAGAGCTGCAAAGATTTAAGTGGTCCCTAAATTGTTCCTAGGATGAACAGTAAATAAGTTAGAGATAATACAGACATCTCTACTTTTACTTTTATAGATGATAATATACATGAAGTTGATTCTTATTCAGAAACTAAGGCTCAAAATTAGAATTCCTACCTTAAGTTAAATGATAAAATAGATTTCATTATTTACATGAATTTTTAAACTATTTTTCATTGGTAAAAATTGAAAGGCAAGCTTATTTTGAATTTTTTTCAATTAGAAAGTGTGTCCCATCCAAAACAAGATTTGAAGCCTTCAACTTTGAAAAAAAACCAACATACAGTTATTAATGCAAGCGGACATAAAAACTTGAGTAACAGACAAAATACATCAACGATAATAGTGGTCTATGTAGAATCTTTATTATCGTAACGCTTTGTCTTTGTTGTGTAAAAGAACATCTGCAAAGTTTCCTTTTCCAAAACTGGAATAGTTTTGAAGTGACTTGCAACTGCCTGTGGAAGAACAAAAATATGTGAAATGAAGATTCAGATTTATGTAGAATTATACTAGCTTGAGAATTATGTTGAATTAATTAATCTAGAAAACATATTTTAATTAATGTACTGTGGCTTAGAGGCAGCAGAACCCATCAAGTTGTACATGCTTGTACAACTTGATGAGTTTGTACAACTTGATGCTTGTACAATTGAGTCCTCAATTTTGTGACCATGAAATGAAAAATTTGATACGGGTTGAATAACCATTATTTCAATAATTACTTCATACTTATTTAATAGCTTTGGCAACTCCAAAACTTTTCCTTGAGAACTGACGATGAATAGAACGTGTGTTAATTTTTTTGTATTCATTCGTTTTTTCTCATCAAGTTTCTGCTTATACATTATGCTTATTTAATTATAAGGCAAAATAAGAATTAAATACAAAGTTATGTATGCATCAGCAAGAGTAAATTGACTCACATCTGCTAACTGTGCCTTGCTCAGGCCTGGACGAGTGGGTAGTTTGTAATGACGTTTGTACTTCCTTAACGTGTTCACTGGCATTTGGTAGAAGTCAATCTTATGAAAATCAGAAAATAATCTTTTATTTTAAAAACTTTAAGATAAAAGTAAAAGTAAAGATGTATCTCTTTTTAAAAAAGGGACATTAATCTAGAAAAGATTCAGTAATTAAGTTTTCAAAAAACTTAAATAGATGACTTAAAGTTGAAAAGAGTCCAAAATGACCAGTCAATTGTCATTTGGTCATATGATTAGTCTCAATAACTAATAGCAGATTAATTAGACCATAACCCTGATTTCTACCCATGCATTTTTTTTGTCTTGTATTATTTACAAGTTCAATAAATAAGTTTTCTAGGGTAATATAATATTGTTTCAGTTTATCTATACTTTTGAAAAAGAAATGAATAAACTGATTTAGACTATAGTGCTCAGGTATTGTACAAAAATTGATGTGACAATGCAGTAGTACCTCTACAATTTCTTCAACACCATCGTGAAATCCTTGGTCATCTTCACTATCTTTACGCTTCCTCTTTGTTCTGACATTCTGAATCTGTGTTTTATGATAGTCACAGATATAAATGTGAGGACTCTGTAGGAGAATAAAAATTGGGAGAAAATTAAAATAACCACAAAATTACTTCAATTTTTTAACCAAGGTTCAAATTTTAGTGTACCGGTATTATATTAAATATGTTAATACATAAATATTTACATAAAAATAAAAATATTAGAATATTTTATAACAATTATGAGAACCAAAAATAGATTCCTATTATTAAAAAGAACGTGTTTTGATTGTTTTTTTATGTCTTGCATTTTTTAAAAGTAAGTGGATAACATAAGCTTATTATTAATATCGGACGATTTGGACTCTCGATGTACATTAATGTCGACTTATAAAGGACACTTTTTTCTTGACCTGCATTTTCCTCCCTCCACACAAGGGCAAACGCTATGTTAAAATCGGCTCAGTTTTCATGTTAACAAAATTATACCCTACCGTTTTATTCTTACCATTTCATCGCGTGTGAGTTTCAGTTTACGAGCTTGATTTTGAATTCGTTTGCTATAACTGGCATTCCCTGCTTGCCTCTGACACTTTTCACCACTGTCTATCAAACAACAAACTTGATCATGGCTGGATCTGCTTTCATCCTCAGTGCTAAAATCATTTGTACTGTAAATGATGAGGAATAATTATCAATGCAAAGTGTCAATTGCTATAATTATATAATTCCACACATCACATAGTTAAGGGGTCAATGTAAGTGTAAAAGTCTTTCAAATACCTAATAAGATCAGAGAAGAATTAATTGGTTTTTTAGTTCATTTTATTCCACAATAGTCAACAACAACTTTTATATGGATTAATATTTTATTTATTTTTTTCATGGCTTTTATGAAGTCACAAATTATTCTATTTTACATAGTAGCAGAGCTGTTCTTAGGATTTTAGAGGCTTAGGCATGGAGCTGAGGAGAAAAAAACACCCACCACTGCGACACCTCCATTCTGCCTTCATCACTGTTTCCTCTTTGCTCGCGTATAACCACTAACCATATTGATAATTCCGAGGCTAGAGAAAATGTGTACTTCTGAATATATGTACAAGTTGTAGGTTTAAAAATAAAGTGCCCGGCGGTCGCCTAGTTGGCCTATGCCTAAGAACGGCTCTGTTAGTAGAAGTCATGAACAAATTTCAAGTGTATTTGGATTTTAAAATTACATTTGTTGTGTGTGTCGCATAAAAAAAACAATCATCAATGGCGCTGGAACACATATAGGGCTCTGGCCTCCACCACCATATCCTTCAATTCTTAATGATCCATGGCTCTTCATCTCCATGCATGGAATCCCATCTGATTTCAAAATTATCAAGCCTTCTATCTTGGTTGACCGGTGACCCATCTGTATCTAAGTTTCTGTGTGTAAACCACTTTTACTCCCCTATGATCTGGGCTTCCTCTCAAAGTGTCCTGTCCAGCACAACATCTCTTTTTTAATTGTCATGACTGTGGATGGGTCTTGGAACAACTGGTATATTTCTTTATTTGTCAGAATTCTCCATCCATCATTATCCTGAAAATCCATCCATCCCTGTGGCGCTACAGCCCATGTACAGCTTTGGCCTGCCTCACCCAGACCTGCCTAATGCTTTTCTTTTCCATGCTTGGATTCCCAGCTGCTGTAGATCTTTTTCCACATCATCCATCCATCTAAGCCTAGGTCTGCCTTTGAGCCTCTTCACTCCTCTGTGATTTGGCATTCTTTCTAAGTGTTCTGCCCAGCGTAGCCTACCCTTTTTTATTTCTGCTACTAGTGTGGGATCCTGATATAGACTGGCCAATTCCTGGTTGGTTCATATTCTCGATCCATATTCATCCTATGTTGGTCCATATAATTTTACAGAGAACTCTTCTCTCCCATATGTTTAATTGGTTTTCAAATGTTTTTGTTAGGGTCCAATTTTTACTAGTGTATGTTACAACTGGTCTCATTACAGTTTTATAAATATTTTCTTTGTATTTCTTGTATTTTTTTTTCTTTGTATTTCTTGTATTTTTTTTTCTTTGAGTAGTTTCTGTTTACTGAAGTATGCCCTATTTCTGGCTGATTAGTAATTCGTTTCTTTCTTCTAATGTTATGAAAGCCAATCAGCATTAGTCTGTACAGACCTGTATATTATTCTGAGAAATTTCTCTCCCAGGTACTGGCAAGGAAAAACATAATTTAGGATTAATTGTTCAAAGTCAAAAAATTATCATTTTTTAAGTTGCTTACAATTAGTATGTGCCAAAACCGTATCCGGAAATTTGATTGAAAGAAATTTAGTCGACAGATCGACGGTAATTTGATCGAACGGACATTTGGTTGAATCTTTTTTTCAGGTTTTACATTAAAATTTTGCTTCAATTTTTTTTTTTTTTGAACGCATTATTGTGTTTTACTATATAGTAGAGTCGACGAAATTTCTTTTGATCAAGTTTTTGGTAAACGTGCCAATACAACTGATACAAAAAGCCCTAAAGACTCATTTAAATATGTGGAGAGTGGAATCTGCAGTAAAGGATATTGGATAAAGACATCAAAAAAGCAAAACAAAACTCATAGTTATTTAAATGCTAAACACTATGGAGATCAAAACAAGTGAAAATTAAACAAATCTTATCAATAAACATATGTGATACTCCTGTAACTTAAAAAAAAATATGGTACAGAAATAGGAGACAAACAAATATGACCTTTACAAAACTTAACATTAACAGTTTGACATGTTGTATCACATGTTCGCGGACGATACACAACTTCATCAATCCGTGATCCCTTCTCAGTTCCCTCAGCTGCTTAGTATGACACAGAAGACAATGGAGTCGGTTAAGCACTGGATGACCATAAACAAGCTCAAATTAAATGATGATAAGACTGAGCTGCTCCCCATCGCGACCGCTCAGAAGCAAAAATCTGCAAATAACACGACATCCATTACTCTCTCAGGTGTGCGTATTGAGTTAGCTCAAACAGTGCGGTACCTGGGTGTCTACCTAGATAGAAGACTAACTTTTGAAAGTCATATTAACATGCTATGCANGCATGGACTATTGCAATGCTCTCATGGTGGGTCTTCCAGCTACGCTCCTGGATAAAATTCAAATAGCACAGAATAATGCGGCTCGCATTGTTCTCCGCAAACGCAAGTTCGACCATGCAAAAACACTTCTGAGAGAGTTGAGCTGGCTGCCGGTGCGTGCTCGCATAGAATACAAAATCACAACTTTGTGCTACCGCTGCTTACATGACCTGGCGTCGTCCTATCTGAAAGAGCTGCTGACGCCTTATGTACCCACTAGAGAGCTCCGCTGATCCGATAGTGGCAAACTCTCGACACCACGTGTTTGCCATGAGACTTACAGAAAGCGCACTTTCGCATTTGCTGGTCCAACAATTTGGAACGCACTTCCTGTCGATCTCAGAAACAACCAGACACTGGAGTCCTTTATAACCGATTTAAAGACACATCTATTTCGCAAACACCTTCTGGGATGATTGTCTACCTTATTTTCCAGTTAATGCATAATGGCTGTGTTGCTTATGGTTGAAATGGGTAGAAAGACTTTGCCATTGTATGCTTGTAATTAGTTTTTGTAGTGTTGCGTTTGTTTAAAATGTGGTAAATTATAGATTTGTTTTTTGTTGACTTTGTACCGCGCTTCGAGCCTTTGGGGATGAAGCGTGTTTTTGAAATGAACTTTATTATTATTATTATTAAATAGGTGCATGGACAAGATCAAGTGGTAGAAAAAAATCTCCAAACATGTTGAGGGAAAGATGTTGCTGTAGTAGACTTAAAGTTAGCTTAAAATAGGCCTAATTATAATTATTAAACATAATTAAAACATATCTTATTCTTAGCCTACTAAGTCTCAGTAAACTAAAGCTAAGACTAAGGTGGGACTAGTTAAGCTAATAGCTAATGCTATATATCCAGTACTATTATTGTTAGGCGTAATTTAATTATCAATATTTTATGCCTAAGGCTAAGTTGACTTTGCATAGTGTTTTTACCTGGTCATCAATTGTTTTTGGACATTTGTCCTGTTTTTTTATTAGCTGAAACAAGTAGCCTATAGACTACACAGTTTAAGAATACAAAATTGTATCACTTGTTCTGATACCTGTCTGGGCATAAATAAATGACACAACTAAAATAAATATAATAAATCCAAATGGAATCAGGGAAATTTTTTCTCGAAAGAATGCCTCATTGTTTCTGTGTAATCACAAATAGTTGTTTATTGTGAGACACGCAAGGTGCAAAATGATGTTCAATGTCCTGTTTTTTTGTGTGAAAACAATGGTCACCTTAAGCCTTTTATATCTACTATCCTGACTACAGGCTAGGCAAGCCAACACCTTGAGGAAATAGTGTGATTCAGACAGCATTTGCCATACCATGACAAAATCATCAAGCCTATAATAGTTATTCAGGCTTCCTCATTTTGTCATTACACACTAGTTTTTGGCTTAATATTATTAATGTAACATATTAGACCTATAGTTCATATTCTTTACCAGTGGTGGGCAAACTTTTTGTGCAGAGGGCCACACTGACCAGAGCCGTTCTTAGGAGTTTGGGGGTCCTAAGCATGGAGCATAGGTTGGGGTCCCCGGAAGGGGGGGGGGGGGGTTCCGGGGGGGGAGCTCCCCCGAGCTGAAGAGAAAAAACCCACCACTGCGGCACCCCCCTTCTGCATTCATCAATGTTTCCTCTTTCCCATTCCCACGGCCAAGCCCCCGATTTCCTGTCTCCCAACCCCAAAGCTCCCCCCCGCTGCTTCCCTTCCCCTGCCTCCGAATTCAACTCAGAATGATAAATTTCAGGATGAGGAAGGTAACGTGAGTGACACAGACGGCTGCAGTGCCAGTTTAAAAAAAAAAAACGGGGGATCGAGGGCGCCTCACGTTCAGGGCCCTACGCGGATGCGTTGTCAGCGTATGCCTAAGAACGGGCCTGCACTGACAAATGTAAAGCTATTTGGGGGCCACATGTATATTATGTCCAATTTTTATATGTCGATAAACATTTCTCTATATTTAAAATCGGTAATTTCGCATTTCAGCATTACCTGACTTAAAGTCAAGGACTGTTTAAAAAAATAGAAAATTAGAAAGAAATTAGATCAAAAATGTTTTAAAAATCATAACGGTACATGAAATGCTGTAAAATTCAACAAAATAACTTAAAAATAAAGTAAATTTTTTATTTCTAGTTGCCTTCGAGGGCCGTATAATATCAGTTGCCAGGCCACCGCAGGGGGTAGTTTGCCCACCCCTGTTCTGTTAATAGTATTGAGGCTGGCACTATGTACGCAGTGGCGGTGAACCGAGCAAAACCATTGGCTTTGGCCTGTGTACACCGCAGTGGTACAGGCAGCAAAACCAAGGTCTTTGCCAGTCTTTGACTCTTTGGCTCAAGAAGTGCTTGTTAAATTAATGTTATACTCTTGTTAAAACTAGTTTTTAAAAATTCAATTTATGCCTGCAAGATTAAAAAGTAGAACTTGTATTTTTATTGTGCGCAGGGATGGAGTCCTGCAGAAACGTGTAGGGCGTGTTGTAAAAATAATGCTTTAAGCCAGTGTGTTTGTTTGTTTCAGTCCAATAAAATAATTACATCTCAGGCAAAGAATCATGTAAGGTTGACTTGAAGTTAAAGTTGTCTGAGGCTATTACTATTGTGATATCAAGCCATTGTAAACACAAAGTAATAGAATGATGATAAATATGAAACCTTGCAGTGATTTTTTTAAGACTTATATTTAAATATCATGGATTTCACAGATGTTTCAGTTTACAGTTGGATTTATTAAAGGTATTATAGCATGTCAGAAACTCAAAAAATTAAAAAATAAACAACCCCCTCCCCCACATGTTGTTCATCCTTTGCACACAAAGATGACCAAGGCATCAATTTGAGTAATTTGTTTACATTGAGAGAGTTGCTCAATTTGTCAGCCTTACTCTCTAGTCCTTGCCTATTTGAGGCAATGGCTTTACTTAGTCAAGATGACTGAAAATAAACCAGAATTCAGTAGATAGCCAACAGTGTGCCCATGTATGTGTTTCACTGTGCACTTTATGTGTTCTGCCTCTGCTTCAGGCTTCTATGCCGCAGGAGTTGTAAGAATTTTTATTGTTGTGTCAATGTTATATAATGTACGGGACTCAATATCCAGGTTTGATTTCAGAGTTTGCCTTCTCTTAGATGAGTTGAGAATCATCAACTGGTGCTGGTGATGTTTTTGCTTGTGTAGGCATTTGCTGTGGTTTGAACTCCAGTGCCACTAGCTTGGATCAAAACCCTGGCCCTGGTTCCGATCGGGTCAAAACGATATTTGATCACCACGGCTTTATGTTTTATTCATTTAACTTTTAGACTTAGTATATTAATTAGATGACTTATTAGTTCTTAGTTTAGTAACTAAATCTTACCACCACTACTAACTCGTAGCCGTAAGTAACAATATGTTTAATTTTAATTTCATTGACGTGTGACGTGTGGGCCTATCAGTACTATTAGTACTATTATTACTATTACCGGACCACTAAGTAATTTACTTAGATTATAATATGGTACATGGGGATACATTATTAAATTATTTATAATATTAAGTATTAAGTTAGGCGGCCTAGGCTAACTTAAACGATCCCAAACTTGAAGTCTTGATTTTGATGAGTTGAGCCTGACCTGACTCAGTCCCAAGTCCCAAGCCCAAGTAAAAGTAAAATAGTTAGTAATTTTAAGTTTAGGCCTACCTCATTGCGGGTGTCTTAGAGTTCAGGAGCGCGTTAGACTGCATTAGATCTCCAAATATTATTTTTAATTCACTTGTTTGTGCTACCTATGGAGTACTATGACTATAAATAATACACAGCTAACGCAACACACTAAACTTCACACATCGTCGATATTTACACACAGTGACAACAGATATGTTATGGTGTGTTGCCTCCGGTGAAACCTTTAAAATATGCTCCCCCAAAAAAATGTTAAAAATCGTTAAATTAACTTAAATGCAATTTTGGTATTGTCATGTCAAAGGAGGTATTATTATTTAATATATTTAAGTTACAATTTCTGTAACATGTTACCACTGTTAACTTTAATAGTTCATTTAAATTTAATTTAAGCCACACAAAAATGTTAGAGTAATGAATGTCCGTCAATTGTGCACAGCAGTTATGAAATGGTCAGTAGCTAAGCAGGCGTGGCAGGCGTCAGATTAGTAAGGGGCACCAAACCGGGTTGGGTGGTATTTTAATTATGAAAATAATGGGTTTCAAGTTTTAATGTGTTGCAAAATACTCCTAACACTATAGCTACGCCTCTGGTAGTGGTGTAGCCTACTAAGACGTAAATTAAACAGTACCCGGGGGAGGGGGGGGCTCTTTTTTTTTTTACTAACTGCATCATAACAGTTGTATAGCATAATTCAATTTTGAGCAAAAATTTGCTTCAAAAGTTCGTTTCGATTCCAAGTTGTTCGAGTTCTAGGGTGTTCGGATTCCGTCACCCCACAATATTAATGATTCAATTGCTATCATGATTTTTCTCTAATGTTTCCTCATTATGGTGAAGGTCAGAAATAGGCTTTGGATAAGGGGTCGTTCATAAATTACGTCACGCAAAAAATTATTCTTTTAGACCCACCTCCCACCCTGTCACGAAGTGTCACAAATCCCCCCCCCCTGCCACGTCACAATTATAAAAATTAAAACGTACATAAAATTTTCATAACTAAACTAAGATTTTATTTTACTCTTTAACACTTTCCCATAATAGATTAAAGTGTAGTATTATTAGAACACTGTGACGCGAAACAACGAAGTCATCCACAAGCCGAATGTAAAATGGCCACAACAGTTTTTCGTCCCTTTTCGATATGCGCAAAAGGTGTTAGCGAATGAGTTTCACGGTACCTTTAATACCTGAGGTAATTTTGACCTCAAATTAATGTTTTTAAAATTAATTAAATAAAGAATTTTTAAAATAAGAAAATTTTAGATTAAAACAAATAAACAAAACGTGACGCCACAAATTTTTGACCCCCCTCCCCCCGTCACAAAGTGTCACAAATTCTCGCCCCCCTCCCCCATGACCATGACGTAATTTGCGAACGACCCTTAAGCCAACAAAGAGACCTCTGTCCATAGATGATAAACATCAGGGTCGTATGAAGGGGTGGAACTTTCTCTTTGTGTACGAGGGGCGGCATTTTTGGTCCAAATTAAATCGTAATTAATGGATTAGAAAACGTGATGATGATGATGATTGATGAATACTTTTAAAGCACTTGTGTCTATGCTGTGGTAACATACTCGTGTGTTCTAAAATCTATTTAAAAACAAAGTCTTTAAATGTTTCTTAAATGATTTTTTAAAATCATTTTCAAATTCGCTCAAAGATTGAGGCAAACTGTTCCATAATTTAGGCGCTATAGCTTCAAACGAGCGCACTCCGTATGACTTCTTTCTATGTCCATCCACCTTGGGAACTCTCATTAAGTACTGTGGTGAAGAGCGCAGGTTCTTTAACGATACATATATAGAAATCAGTTCTTTAAGGTATTCAGGTGCAGAGCCTTCTATACAGCTGTACGCCAGGGGCAGAATTGTGTGGTCAATGCGCTCACTCACAGGAAGCCAATGGATATCTTTAAAAACTGGGGTATCATTAGGTTAGCTCATAGCTCCATTCCCCTGTGACACCCGTTCATTTTTAGACATATTTTTATTTCACTAATTATGAAAACACAAAGAAACAGAATGACAATGTTTACGAAACTTATCTGCGATATTTTTATAGCCTAGATTTCTAGGTGACAATGGGCTTCATTATTGATTTACATAGTCTTTTGGGGACTGTCAGTGTTTCAGGACAGTCATAGCAGAAGTTTTGCACAAATATACCTACATATCATGCAGATACCCCTCCACCCCTACAAGTGGCGTAGGAAGGGGCGTACGGGAGGGGGGGTCCCGCCCTGTTGTGGCCCTTTTTTCTTTATTGAAGGACGTCAATTATAGCAAACTGCATAGGTTTTGTTTTTTTTGATGGAAAGGCGTGTCAAAATTCTCCACCAACCCCAGATGTTACTAGCCCTAACTACGCCAATGACCCCAACAGTTTTTTGCCATACATATCTGTGCGCAAAATCTCCAGAATCCCCCCCCCTTTTTTTATGTTTCGTAACTTATGGAATAAGTTGTGGCGTGGGTTTTGTCAGGGGAGAGTGGGTGATTTAAAATGAAGACACATCTATACGCTTCACATAAATGGGACTCGTTGACTTTGGATGGTGGCTACGTTAGGAGAAGGAAACTACGACCAATTTCCTCCGCATCCTTGTGGTCACAACCACCCAATGTTCCCTCTTAGGTTTGCTGGTTCGTGTGCAAAATCATACAGTTGTGTGCATAGTTTTACGGCATCAATTTATTTGTGTGTGCAAAATTTTACAGCCCACAAACACACTTAAATGGAAATTTTCTGCGCGTTTACTCAAAACTGCTGCGCGGCGTCTGTGAGATTGCTGCGTGACCGCGCAACCACGCAGCTTAAAGGGAACATTGTAAACCCTTGCCCCCCACTTTTTTTCTCCACATGGTTAAAGCTACGGGAGTAAAGTCCGAAGAAACTTCCGACAACTCATGTGATGCCCCTGGAGCCTAGCTGTATAGAGCATTTGACATTCAAGGAGCCCATCAGTAATTTCACCAGAGAACTTCAACGAAATTACACCATCGTCTCTTGGAGACCTACGAGTGTGACGCTTGTCAAGTAAAACTTCTGAAGGGGGCGATCGACCCTCAATTACCTCCCCCACCCCTCTTTTCCTTACCCCGTTGCGCCAAAGGTAGAACTTATCAAAAGTTTATTTAATGCGTTTTGTTTTTATGCTTTTCGGGATAGATGAGTGACAAACTGAAGACCGCACCTGGTGGTCAAGGTCTAGTTACGCCACTGGTTAACCACCCCACCTCACTTTTCCCGATGGTCAGAATGGAAAACCACATGGACAAAAGATACCAACAGGGACGTCATATGTATAGGGCAGTGGGGGCATCCCCCCCCCCCTTTTTTTTTCCAACGAATTCACAGGTTTTATTTAAATTGCTATGTACTGTGGCATAAATACCCGTCAAGTTTTGGTTTTTCCCCTCCCCCACACACCTTTATTTTTGTGAAAAAAAAAACATGAAAAGGCGTCCCTGGATACCGGTAGTATATATATTTAATGAGTTATATCCCTTTAGATGAGCGAGCCAGTATGCCGAGCAACCAGAGACAAGTAACTCGTGGTTTGCTAGCACCCCAGTCTTGTTTTAAAGTCGATATAAAATGAGTAAAACAGAGTAGGATTAAAACTGAAAAAAGAAAAGTGTTTCTTTTTTTCAGATTTAACCCTACTCTGTTTTACTCATTTTATATTGTGCTAACCTGATTGCAGTCTCTCTCCTTATTAGCCTTGTTTTAAAGTCTGTCCTTTAATGCAATATATGTGGGCCATCCATGAATGACTTCACGATATTTTGGAACCTGTCACCCACAATTGTCATAAATTTGTCACAGTTTAGACACCCTTATAATACATCGTCACAAATTCGTGATCATCCCCACCCCCAAACTCGAACAGATGTGTGAAGCAATTTATAGATGGCCCTATGTTTTTAACTTATTTTTTTTGCTAAAGGGATGTTCCCTTTATGTTCAGAGCCCTCATCAACTTGTTGGTGAACTTGGGCGTCTGTAAGTTTTGTTGGGTCAAACGCTTCGTAGTTGGAATAGTCAGAGCCACGCTTTAAAAAAAAAAGGGGGGGGGGGGTGAAAAGGGGGCCTCCCTTCCACCATTACTCTTGAATGTGTTAGTAGCCGGGCTATGTGGTAGATGAGTGCGTTTGCCTTTAGGGTTCTATCTTTCTTATATCTATGTCCATTTTTACGTCGTCAGGGAAAATGATTTAAAGATATTTAAATTCTTGGCTTGTTGGAGCAGCTGAACACTGAAATTTGTGTCCAAGTTTTGCTTTGCTTACGGCCTACTGGCACGATTTAAATATTATATGAATTATATGTGCTATTTTTCATCACATACAGTACTCAGACACTGTTCGTGCTATCAACATGGTTCTTCAGCTGTTCTTTGGTGTCATTAATGATGCAATGGCCATTTGCAATTAGCGACTAGTTGAATGTCTCAAGAGTCAGATACAAATCTTTTGTAATTTTGTTCAGATAAATATTAATAATATTATATTATAAATAATGGACCGCAGCGGCGATATTCGCAGCCCTGTCTGACTCCTGATCTTACCCCCAAGCACGAGCGGAGTCTATTTGGGATAACAATTTGACTGTTGGTAGGTAATAGAGCGCCCTGATATCACATAGGAGCTGTCCTTTTGCCTGGACTCATGTCATTCCGTAACTTTCCAGAACTTCAATGGAGCCTTAATCTTTTCGTGTACATTGCCATTGCGAAATATTAAAAAAATTGGTTGGGTTTCTAAATTATTATATTAGTTATACTTGATATAATTCTTCCCGATAAAGGTTTTGTATTTTTATCTGCTTGAAACTTTCAATGAAAGTAAAAATATTTCATTTACAACCCCCCCCCCCACCTCATTTCAGTTTCGAAGCTAGCATGTGACAAATCAATTCACAATAAATTGACATAAAAGCAACACTAAGACTAAGAGTAAGACTAATTCACTAAGAAGATCACTAAAAATGTCAATGAATAGCATTTAATTTTGAGGTTAGTTTTTGTACGTTCTTGTTAATACATTAAAATAAATCGAATAACAAAATTTAGGGTGTATTGTTTTATTTGATCTTTAGACTTAAACAAATGGTTACTTCAAAGATCATAGAATCTTAAAGTTTCAGGATGATTTAAGGACAGTGATGAAATCATTCGAATGTGTTCGGTATTCATTGAGCAAGGAACACCGCTAAACTAACACAACAAAGTCATGTGGCTTTTAGGCTGATTTTAATTGGTCAGATGATTAGCATATAGTATTAAGCATCAAATGTTCTGAAATCTTATTGGTTGAATGTGACCCGCGAATCCGAAATAACCAATCAGCACTCATTCTACAAAACTCACTAGGCCACTACTAGACCGAAAACATATTGGCGTGGGGTCGATAACAAGGCTTTTTGTATAGGGAGTAAAAGCACTGTTTTGAGGTAGGCTATGTGACTCTTTCGGTTATTATTTGTATTTGTTATGTTTGCAGATTAGATGAAAGTATATCGCTAAAAATATATTCAAATGTTAAACTTTTAACCCAATATGTTATTTATGATTTTCTTTTCTTAATTATTGTAAGTGTAGCATTTTAAAGTTGGCCTTCCTTGGCTGCCGACCGAGTGGGCATACGCCATATTTTCCCTACGAGGCTGGCTCCACAAAAATGACGTCCGCAAAATGTTCTTTTTCGCATTGTTTTACATGTTTGACCTAGTTAGAATTGGCCCGCTTGTTCATAAATTAGTCATTTTGTTTAAATATGTCAATATTAAACTATTTTACCATGTTTTAACTAAGCGGGATATAAGTAAACTGACCCTCCCTTTTCCCGTTTGTACAACACTGAGCCTATGGCAGTGTACCAAGCCAAGCTTCCATTGCGTCTGCTGCAGTGAAAAGGGCTGCCGTAAACCCTATGCTGAAAACGTCGTTTGCATAGGCCCATAACAGAAGCATTGGGACAGCGGGTGCCTGTCAACTAAGTCTTTTTCGTTAAAAAATTGTATGGGCCTTGTAAAATTTAAAGCACAGAACACTTATTGAACCTTTTAATTGAAGATTTTTATCAAAATCATTAATATTTGACATTGAAATGTGGGCTTTGAGGTCGTTCGCCGGGACTTACGCTGCCGCCATTTCAATGATAGTGTTTTCTTGCAAGCCATATCATAAATGTAACATACATCATTCGTTGTTAGACCAATAACAATGGGCACCCGCTCGTGTTTCTTACAGGTATATGCTTACACCTGGATCTGTATATCAATTGGGCATTTTTAAAGAGTGATTTTAAAAAGCAGTTTGCATTGTAATGGCCTATTTGATAATTATATGTTAAATGGATGATATTATTTATAATAAAATTAGTGTAGTCACTTTGGCTACCACCAGGCAGGCATACCAAATTGTATTAAAGTTAAAGCCAGTGCTTGGCTGTCATACTATTACTATTAGGCTTATTTTTTAATCCTAAATAAAGTGTTTTAAATCAATAGTCAAAGTTAATCATTAAAAAAAAAGAAAAACTGTTTTTGGTTGGAGTTGGGTGGTATCTAAAAGTGATTGTTTTTCAGTGGTTAAAAACATGCAGTGTAGGCCTACTACAACTTTAAAAAAAAAATTATGCATCTAAAACTTACTATTTACTTTAAAATTGATTTAAGATTTGTAAGATTTAATGTTTTTTTTTAGTTAACTGTGACTGACACATGTTAAGAATTAGCATCTCAGCTCAGTTGTTATATAGTCTGAAGTATGAGTTCTGGGGAAAGCTTAGTGATTAGTGAAACCTTGGAAGTTTTTGGTATAAAATTCCGTCTAACTTTCCAGGGAAAATCATAAGATTATCTAAAAAGACTTCAAGTATTTTAAGTCCAATATTTAAAATAAAGTCTTGTTAAATAAGCATAATTTGTAACAAATTTTGTTCACCTCCAAAATCACATAATAATTTTTTAAGTTTACCAGCACTTAATTTTAATAAAAACAACTTGGATATGTTGTAGTGTCAGTGCTTTCCAAACTTTTCATTTTTGTTCTGGCATCACACTTTTTAGATTTAGACATTCATCATTTCATGACAAAGTAAACTTATTTTAACAGTATACAGGTTATTAAACTAACCCACTTATAATTTATATGTTTGCCTGTGTCTATGGTATAAGACTAAGAAATCATTTAATTATTCTACATTATGCACCTTCAAATAGTTTTTTCTAAAACAAATGACTGGCTTCAAAATGGTGGAAAGGTTTAAGAAAAATAAGGGAAATATTCATTACCAGGGTGTACGATTCAAAAGAGAAGAAATAGCGAGCTATTGTCACATTTTAGCACGTCCTCACCTTTCAATTTCCATATCAAATCACTATCTTGTCTCCCATAGCACAATTTTGATGTAATGCCCTGCTATTTTCTCCTTTTCCTTGCATGCTGATTTTTATTTTCATATCGGCATTAGCAAGATCAAGATGTGTCAATTTTGTGAACAAAGTTTATTTTGGATTAGATCACAAAATTCATTGTTCTTTTTCACTTTGTCCATAAATTTTTCTTATTTCATTTCAAGTGTTTTTTTTTTAAGTTTTAAAAGTTGGTATGGCTTTTTTTTTTACATCTATACCCTGCAGTGTCAAGCCTCATAGTTTGGAAAGCACTTAAAAACATTAAAACTACTTTTACTCTTGCATAAATTCTTCTCTGAAAATAACCTTCTTAAGATTTATTTGGTTTTTCTTTCTTAATACAGATTAAATTTGAATTACCAAAATAATGGGGAAAAAAGATAGTGAAGGCAAACCAAGAGGACGCATGTCATCTTACGCATTCTTTGTTCAGACCTGTAGAGAAGAGCACAAGAAAAAACATCCAAATGACACAGTTGTTTTTACAGAATTCACCAAGAAATGTGCAGAAAAATGGAAGGTATAGGATATATGGGGGAAACGTTATTTATTTCATTTATTATTCTTCCCATGTTATAATATGTAAATTAGTTACTTTTAACGGAAATTTTAAATTATCATAAAAGATACATGAGGCATCATTTGAAATGGCTAGCTTCACCAAGAAAATCTATTTTTTTCATTGTGTCTTGTTTTGCACCCATCTGCTTTCTGTTGATGTGGCAAAAATTGAAGTACGTATATACAAATATTGAAAAATATTAATAATTTAAGGATTTGCATCCATAGGAGATGACTCCGAAAGAAAAAAAAAGATTTGAGGATATGGCAGAAAGGGATAAAGCTAGATACGAGAGGGAAATGTCTTCATATGTTCCATCTGGTGGTCAGTCAAAAAAGAGAAAGCGGACTAAAGATCCTAATGCTCCTAAAAGAGCACTGTAAGTATTTTGTGTTGGTTTTTTTAAGCAAAAAAAATTCAAAGGATGTTTATAACTATACTTTTGTTGGTAAATGTCCCTCAGCCCTATGAACATTCATTTTCCCTCATTGCCACTACAAGAGGAAAGGTTATCTGATAAACCATATTAAAACTTAACATTTTGATGCCAATAAATCAGTCGAGAGAAATTGTCATCTTCATCCATTCAGATTCAGAGTTGATTTATTATGAATACAAAAATGTAAATTAAAAAAAAAAATCACACAAATCCACCATACAAGGGAAGTTACTATGGGAAGTTAAAAATGAGAACTAAAAATAGTCTTCTCCCATTTTAAATATAGCATTTTAAAAAAAATGGTTTAATTTAGTTCTATATGATTGTAATTCCTTGCTGTTGTAAAATATAAATAAAATAAAACTTAAAAATACAATTTAGTTTTGCTCTTATTGATTAAAGTAATTTAAAGAAAAATAAATTCATAGTTGTACTCTAATTCACTATAAATTTTATTCATTTTAATTCTTTTGTATGGTTTTCACAACAAATCACAATATTTTAATCACTTATCAGACCATTTCAGAACATCAGTCCTAGCAAGTGGCTTTACAATATGTTTTGCTTGTTTTCCTTTTTCTGCCAAACCTAAGAAATATTTTTTTTAGGAAAAGTTGTGCTTGTTTTTTCCTTGCATAAGTGGAAGCAGCTATGTTATTTGATTTTATCATCCATTTGAAATAACTTGAGAGGGTGGTGGGGTCCCAGCAACACCATCATTGATGCATAATGTACATCATCAATATAAGTAAGATAGAAATACATTTTTCCAAGAGCATTGTGACTTTTTTCAATTTATAAAAGTTTCTTCATTATTTTTGCAGGTCAGCGTTTTTCTTCTTTTGTGCAGAGGAACGGCCAAGTGTGAGAGCTGCTCATCCTGGTATAGGGGTGGCTGATGTGGCTAAAGAATTAGGCAAGAAATGGGAAACATGTCCAAACAAGAATAAATTTGAGCAGCTAGCATTAGAGGATAAGGCAAGATATGAAAGGGTAAGATTCTAGTTTAGACTGTTTTAAAAACCTTTTCATGTTCACTAAACTTAATTTAATCCCTTTTTAAAAAGTAATTCAGTCTTTTTAGTAATGTTCAAATGTCAGTTCTATTTTTTAAATTTTAAAGGGTTTAGATCTTTTTTAAGTTTTAATTATCAAATCATTGGAACAAGATCAGCTTTGAAGGTGAGTATTTAAAGGAATAAAAGAAACTGGCATGAGTAATTTGCAATTACAGTAGATATATGTTGCATGTAAAATGAAATTAAAGAAACAGCAAACATTTAATTAATTCATCATTTAATTTGTTTTTAAGGACATGCAAGTATATCGTGGTGGTGGAGGTGCGAGTGCTGCTGCGCCAAGGGTTTCTCCAAAAAAAGCTAAAGTTGAAGACGATGATGATGAAGATGATGATGACGATGATGATGATGATGAGTAAAAGTTTTGCACTGGTTGTTCAAGGATGTAAATTTTTTTCACACAAAATTCATCATGTACATAAGCATTTATGCGACCTTATTGTAATTTCTCATTGCTATCTGTCATTGCTTTTTGTTTTCATGATCATCTATGTCCATTATTTTGTTTATTAATGATGCATTATCTTGGCACATCTTTGAAGCAGTTAAAATAAATAAATGAAATGAAATAGCTTCAGAAGGTTGGTAAATTTTAATAAGATTGCAATCAGGTTAGGTAGAAAGAAATAAGTGAAACAAAGTATGGAAAACCCTGAAAGGATGCAACAAAACAACGAACATGCCTGCAAGAAGCCTTTTTCAGCGAACAAACGACAGTATAAACCAAATAAAATAAACACAGCTGCAATGTAGTATCTGAGAGGACAGTAAGAGGAATGTGATCATACCTCTTGGATACTACATTGCAGGTATGTGTTGTTGCGTCCTATTTTCAGGTTTTCCCATTTTTTTTGTTTCACTTATTTCCTAAATTTTAATAAACGTTGTGACTTCTACTCCAGAACGTGTTTCAGTAAATAGGTTAATTTTAATTATCATGGCCTCAATGTGGTGATTGGTAATACAGCAACCATCTCGTTTTGTATAAAGTAAGAATGTAGTTTCTTAATTGCTTATACAGGTATCTACTTTTAAAAAAAAAAGTTATCAATATCCACACCTAATATATTGTAACAGTATGAGATTTCTTGTCACAATAAAGAACACACCAAAGCACATGGGGTACCCCCAGTTCCCCCTTTTTCTCTTACAAGAAAACAAAAGCAGTGCTTTGTAAAATGGTTATTGTAGAAGCATAGCATTTATTAGGCTGTCTTATCTTGGGTGAGTGTAAATGGTAGTAAAGAAATGGATACATTTAAATTGTTGTTCAAAAAGTCTGTTTAATAATATACTCCTATCCTAATAGTGACCATTGAAGGACTTAGATCAGTGGTGACATTAAATTAGTTTAACAGTTTTATTTATACATTTCTTTTGTATATTGTAAATTTTAAGAATAAGTAATATATGGAAGTGATTTTACACATTAATAGATTCAACAAAAATAATCTGATTCTTGGAGATCTGAAAATAATTAACTAAGCCTGGCTTATCACCATTTAAAGTCTAATTGAAATGGAATGTTTATTTTATAAAGTGACATGTTATTTCAGGGATTAATTAAATCAAATGCCAAAGTTTCTCAAGAGTTTCTGCAATGAACAAGTGCAAACAAGTGCAATCTTATAAACCATAACTTGAGCATACAAATTTTAAAATTAAACCTTAAACAATTTCTTTAAACAGGATTATATATTTTATGTACAGGCACACTGCCATATTCCCAGTGTATACCAAAGCCCAAGATTTTTTTCTTTTATTATCAAATTTTGTTATTAAAAATGATAGTAGCTTAATTCTGAAAGTCAAAAGTACTTCAAATAGTCCTAATTTATGATGATCATATTCAATATTTTTACCGTGGATAGTTTCAGTTGTAAATCTGAAAAAAAGGACTTAGTTTATCAATGAAATCTTTAGTCTGTAAATCAGTCATTAGAAGTATGAATGTCCTATTTATTTCCTTCATTGTAATTCTTTATATATATATATATAAATATATATATACTTTATTAAAAAAAAGTCTTTAAATTTTTTTTTGTTCAGATGTTATGATATTGTCGCTTTGCCCAACTTGCTGTTATGGTTTCTTACATGGACATTAAATAGCATTGAAAGCCAAGTGCCATATCAATGATTGAAATGGAAGCCAAGGGGACCTACTGGAAGCTGGCTTTTTTAAAATAAGATCTTTTTAAGTTCATTGATTGTTGGTGTCAGCTGTACAGAGCCAGTCTTTGGCTTCACACAATGTATGATTTTGATTGGTTTTTGTCATGTGGTGCGATACCCAATATTTGAAAATATTGGGAAGGCAAAAAAAAAAGATTTTGAAATGACCAGATTTTTCACTCACTCATTTTTAAATGTAATTGTTTAGCAGACTAACTATTGTCAGTTTATTTTATTTTTGGTCATTCTGAAATCCATCAAAACTTTGTGCATATTTCCCTACAAGAATTTCCCTCTTTTGACCAAAATAAATCGGTTTTAAATTTTAATGATTGCATTTTGTTTATTATATTTATATTGTTAACTTTAATTAAGCTGACACTCTGAAGTTTTTAATTGGTAAATGCCAAGTTAATGATTATAAATTATAAATATTTATAAGCAGTTTTTCACATTTTGAGTAAACTTTACAAATCAATCATCTTCATCTCAAATGGACCCAATCTGGATTATCCATCTCTAGTTAATTGCTAAATTTCAATATCATGTCCACACAAACACTATTACATGATGTTCATGATGTTCATGATGTTAACTAAAACAGTTGATAAAATTCAGCAAGGAAAAAACAAAAAATTTTCAAGATTTATGTGGGTACTAATTAATACTGATGCTCATGATAAAACTGCTCCAAAATATAAAAGTTGCTGAAAGTTGTGATCTAAACAAGAAATATATATCTTCAATGTTACTGGCAAAGTATAAAATCCAGGCATTGTATAGATTGCCTTACCATTGCAAATGTATAGAAAATAAAATACTTGAGGATTTCAGTATAAAATACCTTGTATTTCATTGCCTGGGACTTAAGCAATATATATAACACATTAAGTTCCAATAGACAGTTGAGTTGCACTTGATCTTGGTGAGAAAAGTTAACCCATGGAAATTTTTAATCCAGTATTTATATCATAATAATTAATTGTGTATTAGTAGAAATAGAGTGTAGATATGTTTCATGTATAAATGTTTTGAGTTGGTACTTTTTCCTAAAGTTCAGACTGCTGAAATAAATTTAAAGAAAACAAGAAAATGTTCTTGCCCCAGCTCTGTATAAAAAAGCCTAAACCCTTTGTGTGTAATGGTAAGGGTTCTACTGTATTATATTTTTTTGCCTATGTCCAGGCAGGCATTTTATATAGAAAAGGTGATTTATATAATGTCTAATGTATTTCATTCTTAGAATGAAATGGGCATTCTACACACTTTCCTGTAACTGTACTGTAATATACTTATACTTTCCCCTATTATAATAGACACTATTATAATAGACAGTTGATAAAACTTGGTACTAGTTTAAAAACACAACACTTAAGGTTACTTCAGAGCTGTCACTTTATTCATGATTATACACAAAGGCAAAATGCACAAGAACAATGTAACCAGACAACATTTAATTATCACACTAAATAAAAAATTTAATTATGGAGATAGGGCTTATCTAGAAAAATATGTGACTGGAGGCAAAAATCGTGTGGCATTGTAAATTGTCTTTGCTTCTGTAACAATACTTGGATTTTGACATTTTTCTTTAATTAGAGACATCTATAAAATTTAACCACATACCTTATCCTGGGTTACCATTTATAAGAACCAGAAGAAATACAAGAAACGCAACTGCTAAATGTATCACACATTTTTAGTCTTTTTAAGGAAAGTCAAGTTAAAATGGAAGACAGTAAAGCAGATTGATAATTACAATTACAATAGCAGAAAATATTGGTATGAATATAAGATAGTAATAATAATCAGAAAATTTGTTGATTGGGTACCAGTTTCAAATATATCTGATCCATTTTATTTTTATTATGTACCTATAATAGGTTTAAATAACTACAAAGAATATTGCAATCCACTTCAAACATTACATAAATTAGCTTTTATGGACATCTTGAAGATGTTGAAATTTATGAGGCAAATCAATAAAAATTGGCACGTGCAAGCTCAAGTGGATTCATCTTTTCACTAAGTGTAATCTTCATTTTATTACTAAATGTCTCTTTACATAAAAACATTTTGTTGAGTGGATTTATTTATTTAGCTTTTTATAAAATTGAAATCAAGTTTAAGTTAAAATGGGATCCAACGTCTGTTTGGAATCTAAAGTTAAAGCTATCTTGTATGATCCCTCTAAAAATAATTCATATGTTTTTTTGGCTGCATAAGTTTTGTTCATGCCCACTATCTCTTTTTTCTTTTGCTTTTTTATTAAAAATATTTCAGACAAAAAAAAAACGAAAGAAAAAAAAACAACCTTTCCCCACTTCTTTCTACAATAAATAAAGACTACAAATGTAGACGAAAGAAACATTTTAAAGAAACTACTTAAAAAATATAATTTAACTAGCTGCTAAGACTTTTTAAAACTACTTTTAACTTTAGAAATGAATAGATGTTTTTTTTTCAGTTATCACAATTGTTAACAGTTATAAAAATTTATACAATATTGCATTATGGTAATGGTATGCTGAAAATGTTCTTATTTTATTTCCATCTTGATTTTTAGTCCCTCCATTCAGTTTGTCACTGTTAATGTTTGTGTAACCACAATAGTACATTCCTATTAATATTAAAACCTTGAAAAAGTATTTTTAAATCCAAGCAAGGAGCAAAACAAAGAGTACAATATTCCTGTAAGTATATTGACTGGTTAAGTTTAAACAATATATTCAACAATAATTACACTAAATTACAGTAATAGTTAAAGATCTCTGCAGATAAAACATTAACATTGGATGCTCAGCATTAAAACGATTGAAAGCAACAAAGTCATTTTTGTTGTTAGCATGAAAGTAAACAAGCTATACTTTTTTTTTTATGTACCCATAGTGCATTATAAAATAATTTAAATTACTTCCAATATCTTAATACATTGCACACATTTAAACAGTTAATAAGATTTTATCTAAATTTTATTTTCAAAGCACTAACAAAATTTAAGTGTACGGTATTTTGATACCAGCATCTGTACACGTTTATTAGTGTACAAACCAAAAAAAAATTTCAGGAATCAAAAATTTATTATTAAAGAAATGTAAACAATATTAGTAGACTAGAGGACACAAACGAATGTTTGGAATTATATTTAACAACAAATAATCTCAAACCAAGAAATCCTCTTTACATAATATCTTTAAAAAAAAAACTAAAATGAAAGCTTTATAGAAATCACAAATTATTAATAATTAAAAAAAAAATCACTTGAATAATTACCTTACACTGCTTATACCTATACTTTTTCTGGCCATAAAAAATAAATGAATTGGGGTGAATAGCATTTTATTATAAAGAAGAGCTCAGGCACAGATGAAAAAAAAAATCAAATTTTTTAACGTTTATTTGCTGAGAGAAATATTGCCACTCATTGGAGTTTAAATTTATTTCGTAAATCCAAGTAATGAGTGAAGTTAAACCTCTTTAAGCAGAGCATAAATCTGTTAAGAACACTAAAAAATACCTTTAAATATTATTTGAACAGATTTCTACAATGAACAATTACAAATTTAATTAAGGATTATATAAGCATACATTTAAAAAATTTAAAAAAAAATTAAAAATAACACAACTCAAAGAGTCACATAAAAAGTATTTACACTACAGCGTAAATCAGTGCTTCTGAAACTTTCCACAAGGCCATTATATTACATTTCAGGACAGAATGGATATTTTAAAAAAGAGCTTATTAGTTTCTCCCTGTTAAGTCTCTCTACATCAGTCTGCAATAAGTTTTGTTACAGGCTCGCACTGTTCTATAGTCTATTTGTTCTATAGTCTACCTGAAGTAGTATTATTTCATTTATTTAAAAAATGGTAGACTGTGATTAATATACAAGTACTGGTCCTTAACAGAGTTTGAGAAGCACTGCTCTTCTGTATCAATTAGGGACATCCCAATTTCTCAATTAGAGATGCACTGATTGTTCAAATAAATAGTTAAATAGAAGGTCACATTAAAAGATGTAACCAAGACCATTCTGATACACTCAGTAAATGATATAAATAACATTTCAGAGTACATTAAAATATGACATAAGATTATATATATTAAGAAAATTGTAAGTAGTTAAAGAGAGTGAAATGAAACTGAAAGGACCAACAATGAGTAATTTGAAATACATTGCAGGGAAAATACTCTCTTATTTCTTGAAGGGTGAGTTATTGAAACTGATTCAGAATATTTGAGTAAATTGAAAAAAAAAATGTGTGTGATGTTAATGTTTGTTAAAACTTTTATTGATGGTTTTAAAAGAATAAGCTTTACAATTTGAAGATATTTGTGTGCTTTTTTAAGAGTAAAATGTCAGCAATTACTGCTGCTGGTTATTGCTTGGAACATTAAAAATAATGATTTATAGATAAGGAAAAATTATATTATTTGAAAAAAGATTTAATTTGAATGAATTGCCCAATGGCCTAAGCTCACACAGCAAATAATGATAGTTATAAAAATATGTTTTGAAATAACAAAAAAGTACACCACTAAGAGCACACATTAACTACATTTAAATTGAGCATAAATACTGATTTTTCTATGGTTATAAACCAAACTATATAACAACAAAATGGAATCAAATAATACCTGACAAACTAATCTAAAACATTCCATATTTTAAGTTTAATACTTTTTATGAATGATAATTTATCAAACAATTTTATAATTAACATTAAAATCTAGAAACTAGAGTAAAATTTTTTTTTCCCCCCAAAGTTACATGAACAACAAAAAAAAACTACATGCAATTAATATTTTATATATTAAAAAAACAACAAAAACAAACAACACCTTTGAATTTGATTTGCCCGCTTTGGAAAATAATTTTGTTTAAATTTGAGCTTTTCAATTATTTGGATTTTTGTAATAACATAACTTAGGAATGGCATTCCTGAGGAAATAAATATTTTACACTTACTAAATCCACTCCGAGAAAAAACCACCAAAGAACCCAAAAATATAGGGAGCTAGGGATCAAAACTTTCATTTTATAATAAACCCAGTAAGGCCATTATATATATATATATATAAATGTATATTGTTTCTGGCAGATAATTTTCTTAATAATATATCATGAACATAGGAATGTTGCTTCATTGGCCCTTGTGAATGAAAAAAAAATCATGTCAAGTCAAAGAGATAACCTTCACTCTACTTCAGTCAGATCTGTTAAGTAGACTTAAGTATTAAACATTCAAATGCATTTATAATCTCAATACTCACAATAAACTAATAACAATTAAAATGTGTGCACATAACACCATACATTTTTCTTTTCTTTTTTAATATTTATATTTGTTTTGCTTTTTTATATTTTATAAACACCAGAAGTTTTTAAACTTTAGAATGCATTTGCAAATAATTTAAAAAAAACCTGGTTGTTCTTCTAGCTCAGATATATATATGTTAATGGTTAAATATGTTTCTACTGCTGCAACCTTTTAATAATACCATTAGGTTGGGGTGTGGGGGTGGGTGTGTGTGAGCTGAATTCTAAAAATAAAACAAATTAACGTGAATAAAATGTGACCATTCAACTATTGCCAAAAAACATGCCAAAGAAAAAGCCAAATAAAAAAATCAATTTATTGAAATGAAAGAAAATGATGATTGTATTCCCACCCCCATGATTATTTAAATCTGATAATTAACACAGGGCTTCTATTTCAGAAATAAACCTTCAACTTAATCAGATGCAATTTTAAATACAAAGTTGGAGATTCATTAATTTAGATAGCAGCTTGGTGTTGGGGATGAATATTCATACTAACATTCAATGCTGAAATTTAAACATCATTGGAGCTCTTCCACATGGTTTTTTGGCTTATTCAGAAAATTGTAATGGACCACCTTCCACTAATAGATATTCTCTCGTTCTTAGTGATAAACATATTGAACTGTTGACTCAAATTGACTGCTAATGGGTGGATAAGTTAAAATGGGGCACACAAG